TGTGTGGGCAGGGGCCCGCGTGGAGGGCTGTGCTCGGGCGCGGGCGCCCCCCCGGAAGCCGCGGCTTTCACAGGGCGACTCATGACGACAGGGGCGCTTGACTGGCGCCCTGTGAAGGGGGCTGTTCTGTGGTGTAACGGGAGAGCTTGGCTGTAAAATAAATAGAACCCATGTACAGTAATTGAAGCACATTTAAGAAAGCTACAGTAGGTGTCACTCTCCTGTCGGTGCAGCAGCCGTGAGAGCTGCCAGACGCGCAGCCCCGGCCGGCCGGCGCGCGCAGGAGCGTGGCGGCCTCGCAGGCGCCCGCCAGACCCGAGCCTGGGCGCTTGCTGCGCTCTGCGTTCTCGCGGGGCAAGGCGGCGCTGCCCAGCTGGTGTTGACCCCGTGCCCTTTCTCCTTGATTGTTCCGCTGGGGGCGGGGGGCGGCCACACTCTCTGGTCCTGGGGGTGCTGCCCCGGCCCCTTCCTCCTCGTGCAAGAGGCCAGACATGCAGCACATGGGGGCGTTCCTGGCCGCCAGACTCGGCCTCCCTGCGCCTCCTGGGCGCGCCCCCCCCCCCCCAGCGCTGCCCGCCCACTGCGCCCAGGCAGGGCGCTCGTGCCGGACGGCGGCAGCCTCCGCCCTGTTGTCTGCTGGCGGCCAGGGCAGTCTTCCTCGGAGCGGAGGCTGCGCTGCAGGGTGACGCTGCCTGTTCCCGTGGAGGGGGGGGCGTCTGTCCCGCAGCCCTCGGCCGTTGGGGTGCCCGTTCCTGCCTGAGTGCCACAGGGGGCGGTGCTGGGCTATGGAGGAAAGAGAAGAGTGGAAGAAATTTCTCCTGATGAAAGTGCAGCTGCCTAAGAGCTAAAGCTTTCTTCAGTCGTGTGTGCGGGGGAGATATCCCACGTCGTTATAAATATGCACTTGCCTTAGGGAAAACGCAAGCCCTCCTCGTAAGAAGGTCGCCTCTCCTGACAGCTGGTCCTCGGGCCACTGGGCTTCCTGGGGCCCATCTTTGTGCTGGGCCTGGGGCAGCCGTGGTGCCCGGATCGGGGTGGGCCTGGCTTCCGGGCTGCGGTGCTGCGGCGAGGCTGGGGGAGCAGGGGCAGCGTGAGCCCCCTGCTGGGGGCCTGCAGGCCCAGTCAGAGTGCCCCTGCCAGGGGCCCCTGGGCGAGGGGGAGCCACCCTGCACCCCCAAGGACTCTGAGCAGGAAGCAGGAAGGCCCGGCCTGAGTGAGGGCTGGGCAGCTAGAAGCCCCCGGCCAGGGCAGGACGAGGGGGCACAGGGCGGAGCGGGGCGAGGCGGGGTGCGGGCCGAGCACAGAGCGAGCCTTGTGAGCCTGTAGGTTCTGTCCCAGCGCCGTGCGGTGGGCAGCCAGCGAGGGGCCGGATTGGTAGGAGCGCAGGAGCAAGCGCGGTGGCCGTCCTCGTCAGGGGCCCTCGGGGCGGGGAGGTGGTGCCCGACGCGGCGAGGGGTGAAGGCCTCGGTCGCCGCGACCGAGCCTCCCAGGCGGCGGGCGGTGCTGACGAGCGGGAAGGAGGGGGTGAGCTGCCTCACAGCCTGCGGTGCAGGGTCGCGGTCGGAGGGACCGGGGGCCCATTTTATGGATGAAGAAATTTCACCACAGAGGATCGAGTGACTTTCTAGATGGTACGGCCACCACGTGGCGTCCTCAGGACTTGACCGTCCTGATGGAGCCTGAGCCGGGGCTCTGACCCCTGCCCAGGGCGGGAGGAGCCAGCCGACCACTTGGACACACAGAGGCGTTCAACCCAGAAACAAAAGCCAACACTTCCCACCCACCCCGAAGCCCTCCAGACAGCAGGGGGGTAATGGGTTCACTGAGCCATGTGGCACCCCCCCCCACAAAAAAAAAGAGTTCTTTAAAGAGTTGACAACTTTCTAAATAAGCCTCAAGAATAAAATGACAAAGGAAAAATGAACTGATCCAGTTTTATTAAAAGTAGTAATTTTCATGAAACGCATGTAGGTGCGTAATCAAGATGGAAAGCAGGAGCAGGAGGGAGGGATGGCGTTCCCAGCCCTGCGGGCTGCACGAGCCCACGCGGAGCGCTCCGCACACTCCATTCAAAATGACGAAGACGTGGCCAGCGAGCAGAGGCCACGAGTGGCCGGCCCACACCGTGGGGTGCCCGGCGCCCGGGGAGAGCCTGGCTCGCAGGCACCGGCGGGGGGCTGCCCCATCGCAGGACGGGACGTCCGGGCGACTCCTGGGTGTGGGGAGCGGCACGGCGGCCTCCGGAGACGCTGCTCGGGGCAGGGGCCGTGAAAGACGCACATGCCCTCCGAGGGCCGGGGGCCCGGAGTGTCCCGCACGCTTCCTCGCCGGGAGGAACTACAGCTTTGAAAATTAAACGTTTGACCAGCACGTTCAGCAAGTGCCTGAGTTTTAAACTGCTGGTGTGCTAACTTAGTGAACTATTTATACATCCGTTAAAATGATAATTGAGCAGCACGGAAATGGGAAAACGTGAGAAGTCAGTCGAGAGCCGGGGACAAGCCACGTGAACACTCTGAGCGCGTCCGAGCCAGATGGGCCGGGACCTGAGCACCGCGCGGGGGCTCACGGCGCTGCAGGGGGGCTCTTTTGACTTCACGAATGTTGCTGTTCAGTTTGCGCTTTTCAGGCTGGCTCACAAGCGTCTTCAGTCTTCGGGGTTTTGTAGAAGCGCCCAGAATGCTGTGCTGAACTGCCGCCAGAGTGAGTGTTCCGCGGCGATAGCGCCTTCACGACTGGTTGGTGCTGCTTCCTCCCCGGACGCCCTCACTCTGGTAAAACAGCTCAGCAGGTGCCTGGGGTGGTTGCTCTTCACCATAAAATGAAAGGCACCATTTGGTTCCCCCAGAAGAAACCAGGAGATGCTGTGGTCTTTACTGGCTGTTTAAAACACGCTTCCACTAGGAATTTTGGGAATGCTATTTTAGTGACGTCGGAGAGAAACGAAGGCGAATCACAGATGACCTCAAGTTCTGGCTCAAGGGGTTTTTCTACCCTGGTTTAAAAACGACTCAGGGCCTGCGTGTTCTGTTTCCTAACCGCTGAGCCGATGGGGCCTCCCAGTGATGGGGCAGCGGTTCCCTGTCGGTGGGTGGGCGCTGAGGACTTTCTGGGGCTGTGGCTGCTGTTGCCATGGTCCGGGTCCATGAGTCAGGCCTCGGTGGCCTCGGGAAGTCCTTAAGGGGACAGTGCAGAGTTAGGTGGCTGTTGCGGAGCTCGCTTAGAAGCAGGAAGTGTCTGGTGGCCCGGCCGCTTCTGGTGGCAGCGTCGGCCTCGGGTAGGAAGCGCCACCCGAGAGAGCCCTCAGCTGCACGGCCTGGTCCCCCCCAGGGGGAGCCTTTTGCAAAATGGTGACAGATTTTAAAAAAAGCTACATAGAAAAAACGAGAGTTAGTAGAAAGCACATGGATTCAGGCCTGAAGATGGAAATAAGGACAGGCCTGTTCATTAACTCGGGGGGGGGGGGCCCAGGCGGAGGTGGCCTGGGCACGGCCTGGGTCCGAGGGCGCGGCTCCGGGTCCTGGCTCTGCCATGTGCTCCGTGTTCCTGGAAGGAAGCGGCACGGACTCGAGAGCAGTGTCCTGGGGCCCCTGTGACGCGTGAGCGCAGCCGGGGGCTCGAAAGGACGGGCTGCCCTCCCCGCGCTCAGGAGGCCGAGTGCACACGCGGTGCGGGCCGGCCGCTCGCTCCGAAGGCCTGGGGACGAAGCCTTCCCCGTCTCCTCCAGCCTCTGGGTGGCCGTGTGCAGGGTCGGAAAGCAGCCCTCCGCCCACGCTGAGTCCTTCCAGCTGGGCTCTTCGTCAGGGGCGCAGGAGACCGGAGAAAGCGCCCAGAATCGATTCTGGGTGCCCATGTGTAGGTGCCGGGAGACGGAGGCTCGTAGCCCGTGGCAGTGGAAGCTCGCGTGCCGTTCTGGGCTCAGGAGAGGGGCGCAGGGGCCGGGGTGCCCAAGGGAAAAATGGGATGCCCTGGGAGAGGAGGAAGAGCAGGCTGGTGACCACATTCTAGCTGGGCCACCAGCAACCGTGGGACACGCAGGTTGTCTGCTGGGTGTCGGCCTGTCTGCCCCGCTTCGCTCAGGTGTGATGCTAGGGGGTGCCCCTTTCCTTTCCGTGCGTTTCCTGTCTGACCTCCCGGAGGCAGGGGCATGGGGAGGGCCCAGGCACGGGTGTGTCTTTCGTTGCTCACTAATCAGCTTACAGTCGGTGTCCCAGAAGGCATGGTGTGGGATGGGTGCACTTCGGTCCCCAGGCCCCGCAGGTCGGTGCCTGCATCTTCCCGTGGCCTCGCCCCCGGGGGTCCCCCCACCCCCATTCCCTCTTTGTGTAGGCCTGGCACCCACGCTGGAGGTAGGGCCCTGCCCCTCCCTTTGGTGTCCCTGCGTCAGTGTGGGCACATTTGCAGGGACCCCACTTCCAAATAAGTCATGTTCACAGCTTCTCGGGGGCGTGATTTGGGGGTGCACTGTCGAAGAAACTTAGTTCCGTTTTTCTTCTCCTTAAAATAAGGATAATAAATGGAATTCACCGCGGGGTGGCTGTGCGGCAGCGCGCGAGGCACCGCGGCCTTTGCATCATCTGGGGGCGCCTCCCGCGCTGTCCGTGAGGCCGCCCGGCGCTCCACCAGCGGCACCAGGCGATGGCACGGTGAGCTCGGAGCTCCCTTGCCGCTGAGCACGTGGGTCACCGTTACCGCTGCGGCCGCGCCGGTGGCAGTGGGCGGGTGGCGTTGCCTGTCGGGATTCTGACCTGGGGGAGTCGCTGCTGTGCCCGCGTTCGGTAGGAGAGGTGTCGGCGCGCAGGCGCTAACGGCGCACACCCCCAGCAGTTTGGCACTAGTGTTCACGTCCCAAAACTTCCCAGGGAGTAAGGAGTTTTAAAAGTATTTGTTTAGAAAGTAAACAGTTTTCTGTAAAAATCATAGTGAAAAACTCGATTTAATTTTTATGCAGCATCTGTTGATTAGAATGAATTGTTCAGTTTGTCTTTCTAAATTTCTAGCTAAGCCGTTCACACAGCTGGTGAAGGAGATGCAGCTCCGCCGAGAGGACTTCGAGATAATCAAGGTGATCGGCAGAGGGGCCTTCGGCGAGGTAAGAGCCCCCCCCCCCCCCCCCGCTGGCCCAGGCGCTCTCACGCCTCGCACATGCTCCCATCGGCCGGGGCGAGGCTGGTCACAGGTGGCGTGTGGAGGGTGCTTGGGCACAATCAGAAGGGTAGAGCAGAGGAGAGAAAAATACAATTGAGGGCTTGTGCCCGGTACATTTCCCCAAATATCGTTCAGGCCAGAAGAGTTTCTTATGGAGAAACTTTTTTAAAAACCCATTTGTTAATTGAACATTTCCTTTAAAATGCGCAGCGGGTGTAATCACGGTCACTCTCATCGTCTGTGGTCGCTGCCAGGAGCCGTGCCGGCTCTGAGTCGCCCGCCTGCCCTCGGGAGCGGGCGGCCCGTCCAGCGTGCGCCGCCGCCCCTCGGCGTGGCACGAGTCCTCCCTGCCCCGGGCGGACGGCTGCGGCGGGCAGGGCCCCCCCCCCCCTCACAGGGCGCGCGCCTCTCCTGCTCTGCCCACGGCCCCCCGGCAGAGGCGCGGGTGCCCCGCGGCCAGGGGCCGCTGGCGTCACAGCTCATCGCCCCCAGAGCTCCGCCTCTTGGCCTGTGAGCGGTGGACTCCTGTGCTCGGGTTTCGCTGTCAGCGTCTGCCGGGCTGGAAGCGCTGTGTGTCATGGGGTGGCGGGGACGTGCCCTGCCAGCATGAGCCCCCTGGGCGCACCAGGCGAGAGATGGCGTGGGCGGCGCAGGTGCCCCGTGTGCGCTCACAGGAAGCGGGCGAGCAGCAGTTGCAGGGGCACACGTCTTTTCCCTGAGGTGTCTCGTGTGCCCCGAGTTGAAACAAGACCTCACCTGTCTTAGAAAATGTCTCGCAAGTCATCGGCACTGCTCTCCTGTCCGTGTCTGGCAGGACACGCGTAGACACTCGGGCAAGAGAGCCTTCCCGGGGGCCGGCAGCTGCGTGCGGCGCCCTCCTCTCTTCCCTGGAAACTGCCCTGTCTCTCGACCTCATACCTTGCGCCCCCCACTTCAGCCCTGCCTCCCAGCCCCCCCTTCTGTACCCCCACTGCTAAGAGCGAGTCTCGCCGAGGGGCCGGGAGGTGGAACGGCACCGCGGGGGCTGCGTGGGGGCAGCGCCGTCCTCAGATGGCGGCGGCTTCCATGCCCGCCCAACTGCCAGGCTCCCCTCAGGCTGACCCCGGGTCCTGGCCCCTCATCAGACACAGCGTGCGCGGGCCGTGTTCTGCTGTTGTTGGGCGTTGAGGTACAGTTACCTGTGATGTGCAGGTCCCAGGGGCCATGTGGAGCCGTGGCGGACGTCCACACCTGTGCAACCAGCATGCGGACCGAAACGGGGCGTTTCTGGCCCCTGGACCGTCCCCCTCTCCCGTCGGTCTTGTGGGCCCCCAGGTCGCTGCTCTTGCGACTGCCGCCCCAGGGCCCTGGTCTGAAGGAAGAAATAGCAGCTCTGAGCTGTGGGGAAGGTGTCGTTTCTGTTGTTTAGGGAAGAGAAAGAGAAGCCCTTTTGTGGAATCCCACCTGAGTCAGGTCGGGACGCACGGGAGGGTGAGGGGTGCCCTTCCCAGGAGAAAGGAGGCCCCGCCGGGCCAGGCAGGGGGCGGCCATCGTTCGTGCTCTTCTCTTCCAAAGACCTGATGCTGGGGTCAGCTTTCCGAGTTTCCGAGACGGGGACAGCGCTCACTTCCGCGTCCCTCCGGCTCAGCAGAGGCCTGTCCTGTTGGCCTGTGCAGGGGCCCTTGGCGCTCTCCCTCCCTGCCCCTCCCGCTCCGGCTTTACCGCCTTCTCCGCACCCCCCCCCCCCCCAACTTTAACACCCTGTCCCTCCTGGGCCCTGTGGCCTGGGCGCTGGGCTCCTGCGCTTCTCGCCTACCCCTCTGTCCAGTCCAGGGGCCCCGCGCGTTCGCTGGTCCTCCCTGCCAGAGCGGGGCTCCGGGGCTCGGGGCGGCTCGCGCGCCCGCAGCCGCCTCGTCACCCACCGGGAACGCGCCGTTTCGGCCCCTCTGTCTCCAGTGGCGCCAGCTGGATCCCAGGAGCAGGGACGCTCTTCATTGGTGTTGGGCCCAGGAGGGCCCTTCGCTGCGGTGCCAGTGGACTTGCTGTTCCCTAACGACAGGCCCGGGGCCCTGCCCCCGCGGCCTCCCCGTCGCCTGGCCCAGGGCGGGCGGTGGTGACTGTGACCACCGTTAGGACACGGCCTCTCGGAGCACACGCCCGAGGGGGAGGCTGCCGCGCTTCAGGCTCGGCACCAAGCCCTTCCAAGCCTCGGCTCCCCGCCTGTAAACTGCGGTTGCTGCTGTCGAGCGCTGTGCTGAGGGTGGACCGAGAGCCTGTGGACAAGTTGCTCAGCACAGCTCCTGGCACATGCAGGTGCTCCATGCACGTCAGCTCTCGCGGGGCCTTCCCGACCTCACCATGTGCTGTACGTTGTTCAGAGAGCCAGGGAGCAGGTCCTGGAGGGACTCTGTGGCACACGTGCTGTGTGGCTGCCAGCCGTCAGCAGCAGCACGGCCCGTTCCCCCCACAGAAGCTGCTCTCACTGCCAGCACGCAGCCTAGAGTTCTGTGATGGAGGCCGAGGCCGCCGAACAACAGGTCTGTGTAAGGTAGAGAGTGCCTGTGATGGTGCACACGTCACGTCTGGTGTTGGTGGCGATGGAGGAGCTCATTCGAGATTTGGGACCAGGCAGTCCAAGAGGACTTCCTGGAAGGCGTGGTACGTGAGTTGTAGTGTGAAGAGTGTGACTGACAGCCAGCATGCTGAGTGCTGTGTGTCTGGGTCCATTCTGAGCAGGTTGCGTGAAACCCATACACACCCCGTGCTCAGCACTGAAGTTTGTTTTTTACCTGGGCAGGTGTGATCATCCAAGTTGTGTGGCTAAAATCACGTTTTGATGCTTCACAGGGCAAATGTTTGTTCACAGAGAAAATTTGACTTTCCTTAACAGCTCATTTCCCAGGGTTTCCAGGCAAGATCGCACCATAGTTTTATGAAAATGCGCTCTGTGAAACTCCATTTGTGTTCCAGGTTGCTGTTGTCAAAATGAAGAACACTGAGCGAATTTACGCCATGAAAATCCTCAACAAGTGGGAAATGCTTAAGAGAGCAGAGGTGAGTGTGGCGTGAGCGAGAGCCACAGGCCTCGGGGCCTGGGCCTCCGCCCTCGGCAGGGGCGAGCTGCGCCTCGTCCTCAGGATGCCAGCCGCTCCTGCAGCGGCCACCCTGCCTCGGTGGTCAGTCGGAGAGTCCCCTCCAGTCTGTGGGCACGAGTGTTGCTCACCACGAGGACAAAGCAAAGCTTGGCAGACGTTTCAGGCACGCCTCTTGGTTCTGCTGCGTGCGCAGAGGGGAAGACCGACACTGGAGCCTGTGTGCGTGTAGGAAGGTCTCCGTGCTCCCTCTCGGAGGCGGGACGAGGGTCGCGAGTAACAGTGGGCCTCTGCTGCCTGGGGGTCCGGCCCTCTCCCGCGCTCTGCGTGTGCCGCCGTGGCAGCGGCTCAGCCCAGTGCCCCGCCCAGCCCGGGCCTCTCCTCCGGGCGTGTGCAGGCCCGCCCCCAGGGCCTCCGCCTCCACTCCAGTGTCCATCCGCCCCGTCCCCCACATTCCTCCACTGCCTGCCTCCCCGGGCTGAGCCCTTTCTCACCTGCCCCGGCACCTCCCCGTGTCCCTCTGTGCCACTCGCCCACGGGCATGCCCTTGCGCCGGCCCGAGGGGCGCGAGCCCAGGACATCTGCGCCTGTCAGTCCTCTCCTGCCCCTCGTCAGCCGAGTGGGGCACAGCTGCCTCAGTCATTTTCTTCTGAAGGGAAAACTTCTGAAAGAAGCTCAGAGTAAAAAACTTGGAGAAAAAGTATGTTGTAAAGGCCACGGTGAGACCCACACGGGAGAGCAGGCGGCACTCTGTCTGGCACCCTGCACGCCCGGCCTCCGTCGGGCGCTTCCGTGTTCGCAAGCTCAGGTGTCAGGAGTGAGAGTCTCCTGTTAAACACTCAGTACGGACGAAGTTTTCTCACAGTTATGCCGGAGACCTGGTCACGCTTATTTCTTCCACTTGCCCCTTTGCTCCCCTGTGGCTACTCCCATGCACTGCAGGGGACCACCCACCTTCCTTCTCCCTTGTCCCTCTTTGCCACCCCCCGGCCCCGCAATTGCCAGCACGTTCTCTGTGTGTGTGCACTTGTTAGCGAGGTCCTGTGCTAGTTGTCCTTCCCTGTCCGACTGACTTCACTGAGCGTAATGCTCTCTAGATACATTCACACCGCTGTAAATGGCAAGGTCTTGTTCTTTTTCATGGCTGAGTAATATTCCACCACACATATGTGCCACATCTGTACCCACTCATCTGTCGATGGGCACTGGGGTTGTTTCCATACCTTGGCGATTGTAAAAAGCACTGCATGAACATAGGCACACATATGTTTTCAATGAGTGTTTTGGGTGTTCTGGGTAAATACTGAGAAGGGAAATTGCTGGGTCGTATGGCAGCTCTGTGTCTAACTCTGGAGGAGCCTCTGCACCGGCCTCCGTAGCGGCTGCACTGCGTTGCAGTGCCGCCAGCGGTGGATGAGAGCTCCCTTTTCTCCCCACCCTTGCTCGTGGCTACTTTTAGTCATAGACACCACACATGTGTCAAAGCTCTTCAGAGGACACATAGCCAGAGCGGCCTAAAACCAGCCTTTACCCGCACGCTCTAGGCCAGGGGTCTTCGTAGTGGGCTTCTGTTAAGACGTGGGAATCAGCGTCCTGCAGGTAAACCACGTTCCTCAAGAGTAGCCTGCTTAGGTTAGCCGGCAGGGTGGGCCCACCCTGCCGGCTGCGACTGGGTCTGCGGCAGAGCGGCACACCCGCGGGGCGGCGCTGGGCGGGGGAGGCCCAGCCCGGAGCTCTGGCTGCCCCCAGCTCCGCCCCTGCCCAGCCTCTGAACCTCGAGGGTGGGCCACGGAGCGGGCAGGTGGGGGTGTGCAGGAGCCAGGCGCTCCCGGCCTCTCAGCCGCTACAGCCGTGGCTGGGGAGCAGGCCCAGCCACCTGGGGAGAGAACACGCGTCTGGTTCCGGGGGAGGGCAGGGGGCAGGGGGCGCGGCCTCCAGAGCCCCTCGCGGCGGGAGCCCGCTGCCGAGGAGTGTGCTCTGCGGGGGCTGCGCGGGACGAACGACGGTGCCCGCTGCCTTGCAGACCGCTTGCTTCCGGGAGGAGCGTGACGTGCTGGTGAACGGGGACTGCCAGTGGATCACCACCTTGCACTACGCCTTCCAGGACGAGAACTACCTGGTACGTGGGGTCACTTTGAACTCAAAGGTGTTTTTTGATTGCTTTGTGCTGCCTGTCACTCAAGCACGGGAAGACAGCCGGGAACTGCCTTTCCTCAGACGTCCATCTGCCTGGGTGGGGCGAGGACCTGTGCTGAGGCCTCACCGTCAGGCGTGTGCTTCTGAGGCAGCTGCGACGCCCTGCGCTTGTTCTCTCTCCTGCCTAGGCTGCCACTGAATATCACTAACCTGATCATTGTGTTCTCCGGGCTTGTTACATTTAAATAAATGGTGGGGGGATTAAATGCTTTCTGTTTTGAGTAAGAATGAGAAACTGCTGTGGGGAGAGTGAGCTGGTGTGTGCGTCCCTGTGCTGTGTCCAGCCCTCCCAGGGGATGCACTGGCCTCCCAGTGGCCTGGCACGGTTTCGGGGTGGCCCTTGGTTTCCACATTCTTGTCATCTGCCTGCTCTCCTGGCTGGAGCGGGGCCCCTTCCTTGCCCAGGGACTGGCGCTGACTCCCACGGGCACGCAGGGCTGCGTGTGGGCCCGGTGAGGCGGCAGGAGGCGGAGCAGGCCAGCGGCTTCCGTGCGGACCGAGGCGCAGGCGCGCTCTTAGCGCTTTGCTTCTGGGGCTGACTGGGCAGGCTCACCAAGGCCCAGAGGGGTCCCCCTGGGGAGCTCGGGCTGGACAGGGGCCGCTGCCGTGCCTCCCCATCCGGTGGCAGGGACCTAAGCCGTGTTCCCTCTGCGACGGCTGACGTGTGCCCGTGGTCACGTGTCTGTCTGCTCACAACAGGCAGCACTGTGTGGGCGCTCTCCCACTTACCTTCGAGTGACCTCTCAAACATCCAAGAGGTGCTTTAGCCTCAAACGTTCACGATTAGGTAGAATGGTTTGTTTCAGTCTTTATTTAGAATTGAAAGTTCCTGTTTGTTCTGACGGAGGGCAGCTCATGCTGATCGCGTGCTGGCCCGTGAGTCAGGCGCCCCCGATTTCCTCACCACGCACACGGGGCGTCCGGGGCAAGGCGGCGACAGCAGCGGCGTCCCTGTGCCCTGATGCCCTGGCCACCCCCCGAGCGCCCCGGATCCTGCGTCAGCTGCTGCTCCCGCGCACCGCCTCCTGCCCGCTCCTGCTGGGGTGGGGTTTCTAAGGCCCAGTGTGTAAGCCAGGCAACAGGGAGCTTACAAAGAGAAGACGCTTTAGTCTGTGGTGTTTTTCGTGAAATCAGTGTAATGTGTCGTTTCTGAAACGTTGGGCCTGACTCGGCCCGTCGCGAGTTTCAGCCGAGAAGCGCCTTCTTGAGTTTGAGCCACCCGGTCAGGACCCCGGTGGGAACCGTGGCGAGGAGGAAGGCGTGGCCTCTAGCGCTCTCCAGGACACGGACGTGGGCCGCCACTGTGCTCCACAGGCCCGGCTTGGCTGCTCTCCTTGCCGCCACCAGCTGTGGGCTGAGCAGGTCCCTGCCGCTGCGGTGCCGCCCTGCAGGGTGATTGAGGGGACAGGCAGGCCCGGGCAGCTCTCAGCCCAGGCTGTGTGGCAGGAGGGCCGGCTGTCAGGCTGCTGGGCCACCTGCCGAGCGGCTCACACCATAGTTTCTGTCGTAGGTCTCTAACCTCAGTGTTTCACCAGCAGTAAACCTGCTCTCCCAGTAACTGGAGGGCTGTGGCCTTAGTGACTTCACTCAGCTCCTTCCGTGAGGCGACAGGAAATGACTGGTCTAGTGTTCGTTCCAAATGTATGCGCCGCCTCGCTGGCCGGTGTGCCCGTCCCGTCCCCCTTCCTTACAGGCCTGCGCCCCAGGCGCCCGTTGGCCGCGTTGAGCATGGCTACAGTGCACTTGCTGCTTTGCTTCTTAGATTCTAGGTGGACGGGGGATGGTGAGGCTTGGGTGGCCGTGGGGCTGGCCCCTTCCTGCTGCTTTCTTTGGGGCCGGAGACCCTGGCTGTGCGTTCACCTGGTCGCCCCTCGCCCCATGGGCGTCTGTTCGCAGGGGCCGCGGTCTCCTCCCCTGTGTCTGCGGTGTCTGCCCGTGTCTTCCGCCCGCCCACCCCTGCCCAGGGCCTGTCACCTCGCTGCCTCCTGGGCCACACCCCTCGGCCCCCGCCCCCGGCCCTGCTCCTGCCCCTCCCCCCGCTGCGCTCCTCACAGGGAGAGTTGGCAAGCTTCCCAGCGCTGGCCCGACCACCGCTGCCCACGCGGCCTCTGGGGTCTGCCTCACCCCTCCTCTTAAGCCCTCCGTGCCCGACGGTGCTGCCGCCCTGGGCCGCCAGCTTTCAGAGTGCCGCCGCCTCGGCACGCCCTTCAGTCCCTTCCCATGGGTTCACCGTGTCACTGGTGGAAGCCTGTTCTCTGCCGGATGCGCGACTGAAGGTTACAGCAGTATTGTCACGTGCCATGGGCGTGTTCTGAGGGGACCCTGGACGGCAGGAGCAGCTGGGATGCTGTCCATGCACACGCGAGGGTCACGGGGCCCTTGGGCGGACGTTCGGCCCTTGATCGTCAGGTGTGGTGGTGACTAAACATTGTGTTCTCCCCGCTTCTCCAACCTGCAGTACTTAGTGATGGACTACTACGTGGGCGGCGACCTCCTGACCCTGCTGAGCAAGTTTGAGGACAGGCTCCCGGAGGACATGGCCAGATTCTACCTCGGGGAGATGGTGCTGGCCATCGACTCCATCCACCAGCTGCATTACGTGCACAGGTGACCACCGCCGGGGTGTGTGCGGGTGGGGTCAGCAAGTTGAGCCAGCCGTCTTGGGGTCCCTGAGGCCTCGCCCCCTGGGCGGGGCTGCTCAGGGAGGTCACACAGCCGCAGCCCCCCTGGGCCGCCCCCTGCGGGCTGCTCACCCAGGCGGCCGCCTGTCAACCCTGGAAGTCGCCGCCCAGCTGCCACTGCTCTGAGGCATAGTTGTCAGCGCGAGCCACCTTGCCTCGCTTTTCAGTAGACGTGGGCCCACCGGTCCCCTGCTCACCCCCCGGAGCTTCACGCAGGGTCCCCGCCCCCCACGTCTCTCTCCCAGCTCCGCTTCAGGCCAGCCTCAGGCACCTGCAGACACTCACAGAGGGACACTGGGGGGGAGGAGAGGCGTGGAGTGCCGTGTCGAGGCCTCTTGGGTTTTGCGGATGCTTTGCTGAGTGGGACGTTGCCCTTGGCCCCGTCCGTGGGGCTCACAGGTGCCGGGGGCAGCGAGCCCTGTGCCTTCCATCACGTGGGGATGCCTATGCTCTTCGTGGGGGCGGCCTCCTTTGCTTTCAAAGGTTGGGTTCCCTTTTTACGCCGTCAGTCAGAGGAGCTTGCTCTGCCAGGGAGCAGGCCGGCGCCCCGAGTCCTCCCTGCGCCCCGAGTCCTCCCCGTGCCCCGCTTGCAGGCGCGCAGGCGAGCTGGGGGGCCGCAGAGCGGGGAGTGGACTTGCACGCCCGCTGCCACCCTCCACGGGCTGCGCCGCCACGGGCAGGTCCCCCAGCTCGCCGCCCCCCCGCCGCCCGCAGTCTGTGAAGCATGGGCGGGGCCCCTGGCTGTTGGCTGGCGGCGGTGGTCTCGCCCGCGTCGCCCGCTGAGCCTCTGTGCACCAGCTCCGTCCCTTCACCTTCCCAGCGCGGGCTCCCGCTATGGGCGACACAGGTGCACGGGGCGGGTGCTGGGGGCGGCCGCTGCCACGCCTGACGGTGCCGCAGGGCACGCTTTCCGGCTTGTCCCAGCTGCCGCTCCGCTGCCAGCCAGGGCTGGGACTCGGGGGGCGTCGCGTGGAAACGGTCAACGTGTGTGTTTGCTTTGCTGACAGAGACATCAAGCCTGACAACGTCCTCCTGGACGTCAATGGCCACATCCGCCTGGCCGACTTCGGGTCGTGTCTGAAGATGAACGACGATGGAACTGTAGGTCTTTCTGGTGAAGATTTTCCTCCTGGGTTTGGGTTTTGCTTGCAATTAGAAAGGGCCGAACGTATCAGTGTGAGGCACAGTGAAGAAACCAAGGTCGCTAATGTGAATTAAGGAGACAGACCCGTCCTCGCACTTAGACCCCCTTCGCTGCGCTTCACATGCACGTGGGCGGCCCTTGTGCCCCTGAAACGGGGGTGGCCTGGGGCGCCCGGTCCCCAGCGGCGGCGGCGGGAGGCAGCTCAGTGCTTCCTGAGGGCGCATCCGGGCCGCGGAGGTGGGCTGACGGCAGCGGAACCTCCGCACTCCTGTCCGGGGACAGAGGCCTCCCTGTCAGTCGGGTTCCCTCCGTGGATGGCGTGGACCTGGAAACAGGGTCCTCGGTGCCAGGGCTCCCCGGGCCAGCTGGCCCACTGGTGCGCGGGAGGCGGACAGGCCCTGACCGGGACTCCCGGGCTTGGCCAGGGCCACGCCAGCCTGGGGCCGCGCGGCTCCCGTGGCTCCACCCTGACCCGCTCAGCGAGCCGCCTCAGAGCCTCGGGGGTCTGCCTGCGCCACTCCTGTGGCCACTGTCCCTACACTGACCTCCAGGGCTTGGGTGCCTGCCTCTCCAGGGACAGCCGTCTGTCCTTTCCTGCCGCGTTTTTAGGCAGCGGTGCGCAAACCCACACGCTGCCCTCCGGTGACAGCGCTTTAAGAGAAGTGAAGCGTTTACTCGCTCTCTGTCCACGAAGCCAGACCTGCCATTACTGACGGTCCTGGCCTCGGACCCCGAGTTACCCCCGGCCCCCGGGCCCCTGCCCTCCGTGTAGAGCCCCTTTGGCAGCAGGTGTGGAAGTGTGCCCGGCACACGTCGGAGGCAGAGCTCCTGAGTGGTTCGCTCCGGCTGACCCGGGGTGCTGCTTTGTCCCCTGGGCTCTCCTCTCGGAAGTGACCCGAGGGAGAGCTCAGCCCTTCCCCACCCAGGCCCGTCCCGCTCACGCCCGAGCAACCGTCCCTTCCTTTTTTGGGGCCCAGCCGCCTGGTCCTCTGCCTGGCTGGGTCCCGGGCCTGGCTGTAGGTGCTCCCGTGCGGAGACCGCGGGGCGGCCCTGAGAAACGCTGCGGCGCCAAGCCGCTCCCGTGAGCGCCCGGGTCTCTGCACAGGGGAGTCTGAGGGGGGCTGGCTGGGGCGCCCTCGGTCCCCAGCCGCCCTGAGCGAGGGAGCACGTGGGAAAGGGCGCCCCCTCGGGGGACTGCGGTGCCGTCGGGCTCGGGGGCCTTAGGACACTGAGAGACTGCTCCGCGCGCAGTGTGGCCGGGAGGCCTGGCACGCAGGGAGTCCTGCCTCGCGAGGCGTTTGGTCACGATCATGTGACGCAGTCGGCGTTAGTGACACCCTAGGCTTCCCGTCGGCATGTCCTCTCCCCCAGGTCCAGTCGTCGGTGGCCGTGGGCACGCCCGACTACATCTCGCCGGAGATCCTGCAGGCCATGGAGGACGGCAGGGGCAAGTACGGCCCCGAGTGTGACTGGTGGTCGCTGGGCGTCTGCATGTACGAGATGCTCTATGGGGAGACGCCGTTCTACGCGGAGTCGCTCGTGGAGACCTACGGCAAGATCATGAACCACGAGGTGAGGCGGCGCTGCCGCGGCCGGAGCCGCACGGGGGGCTTCGCCTGGAAGCTGGCGGAGCCGTTCGGGAAGCGGGGACGGGCCAGGGGCAGCCTGGTGCTGCGGAGGGTGGGGAGGGGTCTGGAGCGGCTGGAAGGCAGGCCTGGCACGGTGTCCGACCTGGGGCCGGGGTGCGGCCGGGCTTCCGGGGTGGCCCCGTTGCGTGGCGGAGGGTGATGGCATTGGTCAGGTCCGCGTCCCTGCAGGAGGCTTGGCTTTGGCCAAGGCGCAGCACCCATGGGGACCCTGTGGGTGTGCGTCTCCGGGTCTGGCCGGTGGGGAGCCCTGGGGTCTGGACTGGTCGCTCGGCTCCGTCCGTCTGCGCCGCCATCGGTTCCCCAGAAACCCGCTGTCGACATCCCTTCGCGACGCACCCCCTGCCCCGCCCTTTCCTTTCCCGGCCGCCGCCCCCTCTCTCCTGCGTTGGCTTGTCCTTCCTTGTTCCCTCGTCCGCCTAACGCTGTTGTCACGTCGGTTTCCTCTGTAGTCCCCGCTCAAACACTTCTCTCCGGTGCCGGTCTCGCCCTCTGCCCCACATGCTCGCTCACTCGCGCGCGCGCTCACACGCTCACATACACACACACTCAGACATGTGCACATCTGCGCACATGTATGTACACTCCCATGTGCAGATGTGCACATCCCCCCACCCCGGGAAGCAGCCCGCACACTGGTCTGGGCTGAGGCCCCGCCACGGAGCCGGTGGGTTAGTGCTAGAGGGGGAGTGGTCTCTCTCTTACTTCACATCACAGCAGGTTGCACTTCCAACAAACGCTCGTTCCAAAGTAGAAGCGAGAGCTTCCATTTACACGTTCACAGACCCTGCCTCTGAGGCCAGGCCCTGTGCTCCTGGTGCCCTCGGGCACGCAGCCTCTCCAGCTGCCTGTGGAGGTGACGCCCAGGGAGCTGACTCCTGACAGCTCTGCTGTGAGGCCTTGGGCACTGGGCGTCACAGATAAAGGGCGCCACATCACACCAAACCGGGGGTTTTGTTGCCCTGGTTTTGTCATCTTTCTGTTCCGCGCCCAGGAGGACCTCTCTCGGTGCACCCCACGTCTGTCTCTTACAAGCCCCGTTTCGATGGGCGCCCAGGTGGCCTGCGGTGCTCGGTCAGAGTGCAGTGCGCTCAGGGCCGTGTGCTTTCTCTTTGTGACAGGTTCTCTGGGGTGAACATTTGGATGTAGAACAGCCGTAGGGGTGGGCCTTCGGACAGGCCCGGCTAGTCTCTGTCCTCACCTGCACGGTTGCCGGCGTCCTTTGTCCTCTCGATAGGCGAACATTTGTCATGGTCCTCGCGTGCAGGCGGGGTGCTTACGAGCCTGCCGTGAACGAAGGCGGCCGGGCTGATGAGCTCGGGGTCTCTCCCTGGGGTGGGCTCCCGTGGCTCCGGCCCGGGGCCATGTGTCTGTGCCGTCTGCCGATTGGCCCCTCCCCCAGGAGCGATTCCAGTTCCCGTCCCACGTCACCGACGTGTCCGAGGAGGCGAAAGACCTCATGCAGAGGCTGATCTGCAGCCGGGAGCGCCGGCTCGGGCAGAACGGGATCGAGGACTTCAAGAAGCACGCGTTCTTCCGGGGCCTGAACTGGGAAAACATACGGAACCTGGAAGCGCCGTACATTCCTGACGTGAGCAGTCCTTCTGACACGTCCAACTTCGACGTGGATGACGACGTGCTGAGGAACACGGTGAGTGTCCCTGCGGGTCCCCACGGCCGTGCCGAGCAAGCGGGGGAGTCCCGCAGCTGCGCCGCTTTCTGGAGAGTTAGGCGGTTGTCTCAAGAAAATGCACCTTTTCGCTTGGTCCTTAATGTCTGCTTTTTAAAAAGACTTTATTTATCTATTTTTAGAGAGAGGGGAAGGGAAGGAGGAAGAGAGGGAGAGAAACTTTGACGTATGAGCGAAACATTGATCGGTTGCATCTCATGAGCCCCCAACTGGGGATTGAACCTGCAACCCAGGCGTGTGAGCTGACCAGGAACCAAACTGGTGACCTTTCAGCCTACCCGACGGTGCCCAGTCAACTGCCCCACACTGGTCAGGCCAATATCTTTTTTTTAAATAATGGATCATGATTTGAGGAAAAATGAGTTAAATGGCTATTTTGTCATAGGAGTCATCAAGAAATACTTTTGCTTATATTTTCATGGCACCTTATAACAGGCTCGACCCTGGCCCTGGGGCCCATCCTGTGGGCGAGCTGGCTGGACGGGCCTGAGTTCTGCTCACACGTTGTGAAACTATTTTGGTCTCATCAAACCCAACCTTGTGGCGCTTTAGTCTATGCCTGTGTCTTGGTTTGGGGCTACACTAACTGAAGTTTACCCATGTTAAAGGGAAAGTTTGATTATTCCTTAATTTACTTAAGTAAGAACTGAGCTTTATTTTTTCTTTCTTTAAAAATTTTATTTATTTTTAGGGAAGGGAGGGAGCAAGGGAGAGAAATATCCATGTGTGGTTACATTTCGTGTGCCTCCTGCTGGGGACCAGGCCCGCAACCCAGGCCTGTGCCCTGACTGGGAATCGAACCAGCGACCCTTTGGTTCGCAGGCTGTTGCTCAGTCCTCTGAGCCACACCAGCCAGGGCAGGAGCTGAACTTTAGACCACATGCAGAAAAGGCAGGTTTTATTTGCTGGAAGGATTTTTCCTGGACTCTATAGAAACTATTTCCAGACTGAAGTTCCCAGATAAATGACCACTTTGGTTTTATTTTTAATAAAGGATTATCAAGCTCAAAAATGGAGTTGTAACTAAAATTCCCCTAAAACAGTCTGCCTTTGGGTCCCAGAGCTCACTCTGCCGCTGGCCCAAGTCCCTGGGGGCAGCACCTGTTCCCTCTGCTCAGGCGCGCATTGCGCATGGACGCTGTGGCTCTAAAACGTGAAATGACCGGCCTGCTCTGAGTGTGGTCTGTGCCGTCATCACCATCAAAAGCTGTGTGTTCACGCTCGTAGCTGTGTTGTACGTAGGTAGAGCCGGGAACGAGAAAGAAGCCCGTAGGACCGAGCTCCGTGCACCTGGCACCGGGGGCTCCGCGTGACCGCGGGCCCTGCGACTTCCCCGGGCACCCGCAGCCTCCCGGGCAGGTCCTGGCCCCCACCCCCGGGCCCCCGTGGGTCTCACTGTGCTGTATGTGCTCTCACACAGGAAATGCTGCCTCCTGGGTCTCACACGGGCTTTTCCGGGCTACATTTGCCGTTCATCGGTTTCACATTCACCACAGAAAGGTACGTCCAGCCCTGTCACTCCCGAGACAGAGCCTTCCCACCGCGGGAACAGCGGAGGCTCTGCTTCTGTGTAGTGCACGGGGGCGGCACACGGGGGCCGCAGCCGGGAGGCCTGGGCGGGCCTGCCCTGGCCGGGGCTCGGCGTGTTGGCCGGAGCGTCGTCTCCTAAACCAGGAGGCCATGGGTTCGATTCCTGGTGAGGGCGGGCGCCTAGGCCGCTGGTCGGTCCCCAGTTGGTTGGGGATCACGAGAGGCAGCCAGTCGATGTTTCTCTCCCTCCCTCCCGTCCCCTCGCTCTGAAATCAATAAGCGTGTCCTCGGGTGAGGAGACACACGCGTGCGCACACACACGCCCCCCCAAACCCCGGCACCGCACGCGATGGCACAGCAAGGCCGCAGACTTTTCGTGAAGAGCCTGGCATGACGTGATTCAGGCTTTGTGGTCTCCGCTGTATGTTTCCCCTCATCCTTTTAACAGCCCTTTAAAACCGTGAAAGCCGCTCTCGGCTCCTCCCGGGGTGGCAGCGGCCCCGGGCCGGCAGCCCCGCGCCATCCTCCCTTGGGGCACGCTGTTGGCGCCCAGCGGTTGTAGCCGCAGCTCTGGCCTCCGTGAGCGGGGCCGGAGTCCGGCCCCTGCAGAGCCGAGAGGGGGGCCCGCGTGGGACTCCGGCCCCGGGAGCCGGCGCTGCCTGTGTGTGTCTCAAATGGGACCCTCACGGCCGCGTCTGCCACCCGCTCACGGAGGAGACTGGGGCAGGAGGAGGGGCTGGGGTGAGAGGCCAGCGAAATGAAACAAACGGAGCTGCCACATGCCGGCAGGAAGGACCCAGCGCCTGGCTCTCGTCCTCGTCTGCAGTTGGCCTGTGGAAGTGCCCAGGAGAGGTGCCAGCGCTGACCAGGCACCTGAGCCAAGATGTCGGCCGAGGCTGTTCAGCCTGCGCCGCGGAGGGGGCCCAGGGGGTGGTGGGCGTGGCGCTTACTGCCTGTCCCACAGGCTGAGGCTCCCGACCTTCCAGGTGCCTCCCAGCCCACTAGGTGCTGGTGCGCCCTGCGGGTCCCCGGCCAGGCTTGGCGGGTTGGGCCCAGGGACCCCCTCCTGGAACGGCCCTGCAGGGTGGGCGCACAGCACCCCCAGGCTGCCTTTGAGCAACCCACCAGGCCCCCTCCCGCACTCCGTGTGCACTCCAGCGCCTGCCCGCCCTCGCCGTCACAGAGACAGCGGAGCTGAGTCACGGGTGAGACCGCCCAGCAGCAAAGCTCTCAGAGTGCGCCTGCGCCCTCAGCATCCGCGGCCCAGCTCCCAGCGGGCCTGTCGCGGGCCGGCCAATGGTGCCTGGCTTTGCGGTGCTGGTAGGGGCACTGGCGTGGAGGCAGCCCTTGGCTCGCAGGCCCGACGGGTCCCAGAGGGCTAAGGAGCTGCCTCTGGTCCGTGGCAGAACCAGGGAGATGCCCAGCAAGGCCCTGCAGGCCCGCCCCTCGCACAGAGCTCCTCCTCGTGGCACGATGGCCTGGGAGCCCTCACTCAGAAACTGCCTGTCCCCAGAGTCACAGGGCAGTTTCTTTGACCAGCCCTGAGGGCGTGTCCTCCTCCTCGTCACCCAGGCACTGCAGTGAGGAGGACTCTTGTCTAATTTTGGCTCTGTAAACAATAAACTCTTTCACAGGTATTTTTCTGTGCCAGTTTAGAAAGACTTACCTTTCTCCTGGGAAGTCTTGAAATGCTCTGCGGTCTGAGCCTGTGCTCAGGAGGCTACAAACGCTGTGTGTGCTTGCAGCTGCTTCTCTGACCGGGGCTCCCTGAAGAGCACGCCGCAGTCCAGCGCGCTGACCAAGGACGAGGGCGTGCAGCGCGACCTGGAGAGCAGCCTGCAGGCCGAGGCCTACGAGAGGCGGATCCGCAGGCTGGAGCAGGAGAAGCTGGAGCTCAGCAGGAAGCTGCAGGGTGAGTGGGGGCCCGTCCGCGCCCTGGGGGGCCCGTGCCGCCCGCCTGCACTCACACGTATCCCCCCCCAGAGTCCACGCAGACCGTCCAGTCCCTCCACGGCTCGGCACGGGCCCTGAGCGGTTCGGCCCGAGATAAAGAGATCAAAAAGCTGAATGAGGAAATCGAGCGCTTGAAGAATAAAATAGCAGGTGCGTTTTGAAGTCTGGCTGCTTACTGCCTGCTCTCAGAGGGTGTTAATCTCTGCAGAGAAAATTGTAGTCATTTTCATGGGCTGCAAAAGCATGAAAAAGGCTTGAGCCTTAGCATACCTGGTTAGAGTTTTGGTACTCCGTCAGTTCATTGAAAATTGTTTCTCCAGATGCATAGCTCTGATACAACTTTTCAGTTTCAGCTGGAGTCAGTTCCCAGTGTTTCATCCATGAACGCGGAACACTTTGTGGTCCTCTGTCTTCGCTCCTCTGTAGCTCTGGGGCAGAGTTGCTGTAACCACTCCTTTCTAGAGCTCTCGCCAGTGGGGCTTGCATTCCAGGGTTTTAGGTGCTAGGTCTGTTGCCCCGTCTGTCTTTGTGGCTCATAGGTCCTCAGTTTCCTAAAGACCCAAATCACTTTCACACCTTGACCCCTGACCTGACTCGGGGTCCGCACTGCAGGCGACCCGCCCCGTGAGTCAGAGCGGCGGCGCCGGCGGCCCTCCTGGCCCCGTGAAGGCTCGGTGGGGCCTGGTGTTCAGTAAAAGCTGTTGCCACCCTGGGTTACACTGTGCCAGCTCCACAGGTGAGCGAGGACGAGGCCGGAGGCCCGGTCCCACGGGGTCAGGCTGCCTCTCAGTGAGCCGGGAGGCTGCGGCGCGCGTGCTCGCCGTCGGCGAGTCAGGTCCGAGGCGCTCGTGGGGACCAGTCCGTCTCTCCTCTGCGCAGACGCCGGCAGGCCCGAGCGACAGCTGGAGGACACGGGGACGCCGCGTCCGGAGCCCGAGGGCACCGCGCTGCGGCTGCGAGGCCTGGAGAAGCAGTACCGCCTGGTGCGGCAGGAGAAGGAGGACCTCCACAAGGTAGCGGCCGCGGACCCCAAGTGGAGGGGCGTGGGCCCTGCCTGTGGCTGGGCTGCGGCCGCCCCGCCGCCAGCAGCCGCGCCCCAGTGACCGTCAGCCCTGGGTGGCCGCACAAAGCCGGGCGTCGTGCTCAGGCCCCACCATGCCCTGCGCTCTGGGGTCCCATCCCGCTGGCCCGGGCCGCCTCCCAGGGTCGTGGCGTGAGAGGCCGTTGGGTTTTGTAAGACATGCCCAACTGCGGCCCAGCCCGTAGCGTGTGCGCAGTTAGGGCCACGCCCCCGGAGCACATTCACACAGACACTGGGGAGTCGACCCAGGCTGAGCTCTGGCCTCTAGAGGGAGGGCTCGCCGGGGTGACCCAGCACCTCCCTCCCGAGCCTGGCGGAGCGCCTCGGTCCAGACGTGCGCAGGGCGGCGCCACACCGCTGCCGCGTGCCACAGAAAGCCCGCTGAGCCGGCCGGGGCCAGGGGCAGGTGCTCCCTCACGCGGCAGGGCCGCCCTTGCCCCGTCCCCGCTGCTGCCTCCCTTGGCCAGCGGGCGCCCGGGGGCGAGCAGCGTGATTGTGGGGGGCCAGCTGCAGGGCGGCGAGGTCAGGGCGGCTGAGGGGACAGTCGTGTCCACACCGCAGGCCCTCCGGTGCAGGGCCAGCCGCCCGGCACGTGTGTTTATACAGTTCTGTACTGGGATCGGCATCCCAAGCTTTTTCCCAATGTGCCGTCCCTGGCTCTATGGTGCCGCCTCAACGGAGGGGCGACCAGGTTCCCGCCTCCCCTGCCCTCATTATGTGTTGGCAGCGTAGGGGGCGTGGCTGGGCCCGGCTGGCCACCTGAGCAGGGGTGCCGTTGCCGCCTCTGCTGGGAGGGTCTTTGTAGACTGGGCTCAGGCTCGGCACCTGAGCTCAGGTGCACTTCAGGCGGCGCGTGGCTGTGCTGGGGCAGGCGGGGCTCTGTCCTGCAGGCGAGCTCTCGGTCTGCACTGTGGTCTGTGACCCGCACTTGCTGTCACTAAGCTTCCAGCCTCCCAGATGTTTGTGGCACAGACAGCAAACATCTGCCATTCCTTTTGTTCAGCAATTGGTTGAAACTTCCGAGCGCTTGAAGTCGCAGGCCAGGGAGCTCAAAGATGCCCACCAGCAGCGAAAGCTGGCCCTGCAGGAGTTCTCGGAGCTCAATGAGCGCATGGCAGAGCTCCGCTCGCAGAAGCAGAAGGTGTCCCGGCAGCTCCGTGACAAAGAGGAGGAGGTGGAGGTCGCCATGCAGAAGATCGACTCTATGCGGCAGGAGATCCGCAAGTCGGAGAAGCTCAGGAAAGAGGTAGCGCGGGTGCTGCCGGGGCGGCCGCAGCGATTAGACTTTTGTGGGATCTTAACAAACATCTTTAAAAACGTGACTGTGCTAATTGTATCAGTCACTTTAAAACATCTTAAGTTTTACACGAAGCTGAGTAAGTTCACCTGGCAAGCATTTATTTTATAGTTCTTAGCCCTCTACGTCCATCTGTGAAGTTTTTGAAAGAGGTTCCAGTAGCACTAATTTTTAAAACTTCCCCGTTAAAGCAAATAGAGGGTGTTCATGCCCAACGAGTGTCACGTGAACACGCACGCAACGGGGCACCTGTGTCCCTGGGGGCGGGCGGGCGCGGGCAGGTCTGGCCCCGTGGGCCCACGTCAGCCCTCAGGCTGGCGGTCCTCGCGTGTGCAGGGGCGTGAGGCCCCAGAGAGCTTTTTTCGTGTGGGTTGTAGCCCTTAGCGTTTACCACGTTAGAAATGAAAAACGAGGCTTTTTTCCCATATAACAATAAAGCGGGGAAGGAAGGGCCTCGTCACCCACGTGGGAGCCGCTGCCGCAGGGTGGCGCAGCCCGACAGCCCGGGCGAGGCCCCTGTTGCAGGCGCCGGGCGAGCTCTGGGCCACAGCCGGGACGTGCCCTTCTTCACCACACGCTCCGGCCTCTCCGTCCTTCGGCCTCAAGGACCTGTTTGCAGGCTCGCAGCCCAGAGACTCCCCTGCTCGTGGCTGACTCACGCAGGCGTGGGGGCTCCTGTGGGTGCTGCCCCTCGGCCAGGCAGGGACGGCCGCCCTCACTGCGCCGCGTGCCCCTGCTCACTGCCCCCTGCACTCGGAGTGGGTTTGAAATGCCCCATTTGAGAAACGTGTCCATCCACGTCCTGCAGATGTCAGAATACTTGTTTTCATGAATCAGTATCTTTTCTTGAAACTTCATATCAATCGATCAATTTGAATTAGACTTTAAACTTGTTTTTTTTTTTTGGGTAACTCACCAGCCATTCTAGTCAATCTCTGAAGTATGTTTCTTGGTCTCTAGCTCATGATAGAGCCTTACAAAGAACAAGGAGTTAAGAGAACTTCCAAGATGTTGGTCGGTTAGAGTCTTTTGGGGGAGCGTCCAGGGCCCAGTGCTGCTGGGAGCCTGCACGGCGCCCTTGAGCAGCAGTGTCCCCTGTGTTGCAGCTGGAAGCTCAGCTCGAGGACGCCGCGGCCGAGGCCTCCAAGGAGCGCAAGCTCCGCGAGCACAGTGAGAACTTCTCCAAGCAAATGGAAAGTGAGCTCGAGGCCCTCAAGGTAGAGCCGGAGGTCGAGGGTCCTGGTTCTTTGCGCGATGATGGAGCATTGCTCGTACGAACTCCGCTGTGGCTGGTTCGTCCTCAGTGAGGCGCTCTTGGGGGCACAAGGTCACCAGGCAGCTCTGGGCGCACTGGGGACGGAGGAGGCGTGGGACAAGAGCCCTCCTTCCGGGCGGCGTGCGCCTGTGCAAGCTGGCGCGCGCGCACTCCGCCCTAGATGGCCGTTCCAGGCGGCTTCCCGGAAGCCCTTGCGAGCTACTGCCCAGCGCCTCGTCTGAGCCCCGGTGCTCTGCATTCACGGGGCCCACTTCCAGGAAAGCTCCTTGAAGCCCACACCCTGCCCCGGACATGGGAGGGGCAGGCCGGCCATCAGAGGCCAGAGGCAGGGAGGGCAGGGGGGTGTTGTGGGACGAGGGTGGTGTGGAGGCCGGGCTCCCCGAGCGTCCCCGGTCCAGGCCCGCCCCTGCTGAGCCTGGCGCCCTGGCCGAAGGCAGACGACTGGGCTTCCCATGCCCTTGCCTGACCTGGCCGCTGGGCGACACCCCCACCCCCGGCCAGCGCACCCCCAAGGCGTCTGTTTCTCTCCGCTGGCTGCTGCCTGGTCCGGCCAGGCACATCGTGCCGCTCCCTGTCTTTGTCCTGCTCCGCGAGAGCAGACGTCCCAGGGCCCTGTGACCGCAGGGTGCCTGGCGCCGAGTCGGCCGCGGTTGGACACTGGGGGTGAATGGGCAGAGCCAGGAGGCCGGAGGGCCGTCCTCATCGCAGCGCGGCACCGCCCCGGGCCCTGAAGGACAGGGCCTGCCCCCCACCGCCCACCGCAGGGCCCACGCCGCCTCCCCAGACGCCTGCCCTGCGGGCGTGAGGAGGACCAGGGCCAGCTGTGTCATGCGGGGCCGTGTCTGTTGTCAGGAGGGCCGAGGAAGCGGCGCTTCAAGTGCCCGCGGGGGCGGGGCGGGGCGGTGCTGGCAGAGTGGCTCCCGAGAGGGCACAGAGGAGTGTGGCTGACTGTGACCTTCGTCTCTAGGTAAAGCAGGGAGGCCGGGGACCAAGCACCTCCTTGGAGCATCAGCAGGAGATTTCCAAAATCAAGTCTGAGCTGGAGAAGAAAGTCTTGTTTTACGAAGAGGAACTGGTCAGGCGTGAGGCCTCCCACGTGCTGGAAGTAAAAACCGTGAAGAAGGAGGTGCACGACTCTGAAAGCCACCAGCTGGCGCTGCAGAAAGAAGTCTTGATGCTGAAAGACAAACTGGAGAAGTCGAAGCGGGAGCGGTAGGTCCCCCCGAGCTCCTCGGTCTTCGTGGCGCAGCGGGGGCCCAGCCTGAAGCCGGGAGCTTGGGCCAAGTGCGGACTTGCGGACGTGACCTTGTCCCACTGCCCCCTCAGGCACAGCGAGGTAGAGGAGGCCGTGGGCACCGTCAGAGACAAGTACGAGCGCGAGCGGGCGATGCTGTGTGAGGAGAGCAGGAAGCTGGCCGCCGAGAAGGAAAGGGTAATGCGGCCTCGCGCCGCCGTGCAGGCGGCTCTGGTGCTTGACTCGTGTGCCCTGGAAGTTTGGTATTTTAAGTATTTTTATTTTTAAATGAAATAACGTGGCCCTGGCAGTAGCTCACGTGGTCAGAGTGTTGTCCTGGTCCACCAGGGTTGAGGGATTGATCCCCAGTCGGGACACATATAAGAGTCAGCCAGTGAATAAGTAAGTGGAGCAAGAAATCAGTGTCCTCCTCCTCCCTCCCACTTTTAAAATCCATTTTTAAAAAAGACTGACATGAAGTAATACGTCTGATCTTTTTGTATTTGCTTTAGAGCTGCTACTTCCCTGAAACCACTAGCTCTTTTATCTTCGTTATGCTCAGGTTTTCATTGAAATGTGACTTGGGTTAAATACAATCAGAAGTCCACGTCCTGAACTAAGTTTGGAAAAACCTCATAAGGAGTAACAGAAACTTCCAGAACCTTCGAAAGTACTCGTAGGGTTACCAGCAGCCTCCTCACGGGGTGCCAGGTAACACGCCATGTGGCGCAATTGTCTTTTCAGCTTTGCTCCTTTGTGGACAAACTCACAGCCCAAAACCGACAGCTGGAGGACGAGCTGCAGGACCTGGCGGCCAAGAAGGAGTCGGTGGCCCACTGGGAAGCCCAGATCGCCGAGATCATCCAGTGGTGCGTGCGCCCCAGCCCCGGCTGCTGCCCGAGGGGCGCCCCCTTTCCCTGGCTCCTGCCGCCGCCTCTGCGGCCCGGCCCCTTCACCCCGCGCTGTTCCTCTGAGGGCTCAGGACGGGTCCCGCCGCTGTGTCCCCAAACGGCTGAGGGCTGTGTCCAGCCCATCACAGGACGAGGGCTGGAGGAACAGTGCCAGCCGTCGCCGCGGGTCGGGGCCAGGCTGTGCGGGCCCCCGCTCTCTGGGAGGCGCGGGCGCGGCTTCTGCAAAGTGCCGCACGAGGAGGGGGGACCGCAGAGGCGGGTGGGGGCGGGCTGCCGCCCCAGGGGCACTCCTGTGGGCATCCGGTGTCCGGCGACAGGGTGCTGTCCTGAGGGAGGTGGGACACACTCGCCTCTGTGGCTCCTGGACCCACAGACAGCGTTCCCTCCCGCAGGGTCAGCGACGAGAAAGATGCGCGGGGCTATCTTCAGGCTCTTGCTTCGAAGATGACCGAAGAGCTGGAGGCCTTGAGGAGCTCCAGCCTGGGGTCGCGAACACTGGTAGGTGTCGCCCTGAAGCCTGTGTCGTGTCACCGGCGAACTCCTTAAGGGCTGTGGCCGTTCAGTGCCACGGGTCCTTCTGGTGGAAAAGGCCAGTGTGTGGAAGGCCAGCCTCGTTCCTGGGACACGAGCTTTTGCACAGCTCCCTCGCTCCGCCGTGACTGGTGGAGGCGGCAGTGAGCAGGACGCGGCCCGCCTCAGGGAGGCGCTGTGCTGGCGAGGCCCGCCCGCCCGCGCGCTGAGACGCAGGCACCTGGGAGCGTGGCGAGCTTGGGGCGGCGTGGGCCCCGTCGCAGCCCAGTTTCCTCTTCTCTCCTTTTTTCTGGGTCCCCTTATGTATAAGTTACAACATTTTGTGAGTGATATATGGAAATAAGAATAAAGGCACAGGGAAATAAGTTTATTACAATTGCAGCTGCAACTTAAACTTAGTAAACCACGTTTATATCTTACGTTCCCTGGGTTTAAAGGTATATTCACCCAAAAGGGGCTGCCCCTGCGAGTGCGGTCAGCTGGGCGTCTGTCACGCGAGAACCCGCAGCATGTGGCTCGGGGACGCTGAGTGCTAACCGTGCTGCCGGCGCCCACGTGCGCGTCCCGCAGGCTCCGCGCTGCGCTGGAGCCGCCACAGCCAGGCCTCCGAGAGGGGGGTCAGCTCAGTGTCTCCGAGGGTCAGGACACGGCTGCTTTGGCCCTATAATTGGAAAACATTTTCATTTTTAGACTTTAGATTTAGGAACACCGATTAGAATGGTCGATGAATTTCAACTGTTTTCTTCCGGTCACGTTTACGTACACGCTGCCCTTAGGAACTGCAGTAAATGAAATGCGCACAGACTTCCAACAAGGTGACAGAATGCCATCACAGATCCTTGTAATAACATGGGGTTTTCGAGATTTTTGTTGCAAAATACTGTGTAAATAGTTGCTTTCGAAGGACGGATTGCATGAGGGTATAGTTCCTTTTCTTCCTTAACAATGTGTTGTCCACATACTGGTCCTGGGGCAAGGTCACCCAGGACATAGTTGCCTGGGGGCCCCTGAGATTTCTCTCCCTCGATGAGGCCATGTCCCCAGAGTCGCCCTCTGCCCTGCACCCCCTTCCGACTGACGGCTGGGGAACATGCCGCAGCCAGCTCTTTCTGCTTCGCTAAGACGGATGGAAGATGAAAGGCGCTCCGCGGCGCTCAGCGAAGACTTTGAAAACAGTGCCCCGCATGCCTTTCTTCCCCTGGAGAGCCGGTGGCCGCGCAGGCCACCCCAGCGGGCAGAGGGAGGAGGCTGGGCCTGGGCGGCCCCTGTCCTCCGCACGTCTCGCCCTGCCTCTGTTTCCTCAGCGTCTCAGGCTTTCCTTTCACGTAGAACAGTCAACGAAGGGTGGCATGATTCCTAGGGTGATGAAATAGCAAAATGTTTCAAGATACTGGAAAATAAGATACAGAGGGGCCCAGAATGCAGCTTAGGTTTGTAAGAGTGCAGCGTAGATGTTACACTGTGGTACCCCTGTTATTCTTCCAAAAAAGTGAATGGTTTACAAAATCTCAAAGAGTAAAGTCTATAAAATAACATGAGGCACAGTGGACTTTGTTCACATCTGAGAGGCAATATCTAAATATGACGGTGAAAGTTGAAGGTTAGAAAAAGACGAATTGTTAAATTTGTAGCTTAAAATTTTAACGTTTGAACTGATGCCTACAGGATCCCCTTTGGAAAGTCCGCCGTAGTCAGAAGCTGGACATGTCCGCACGGCTAGAACTGCAGTCTGCCCTTGAGGCTGAGATCCGAGCCAAGCAGCTTGTCCAGGAGGAGCTGAGGAAAGTCAAGGATGCGAACCTCTCCTTTGAAAGGTGCTTGTCCTGTGGCCCAGCTCCATGCAGGAGCTGCGCGCCGTGTGACCTCGGGCGCACCCCGAGCTGTCCCCGAGGCCAGCTGTTCGCTCCCCACGTAGAGGTGCTGGGCTGAGGTGCGGGCAGGCGCCACCCGCCCACTAAGTGCAGAGCCGGGATTTGACTTCAGGTGCCCGTGGTGCTGGACTGGCCTGCTCACCTCCTGGCCAGATGGTGACCTCAGCAGCCTGGCTTTGATCTGTCCCCTCTGCAACAGCCCAGGGACCACAAGACCCTGCGTTCAGGCGGGTGGCAGCCCGCCTTCCTGCCCGCGATGGGAGTAGCACTTCAGGCCCTATGGCTGGGTCACCTGGGTGTGCATCCTCAGAGGGTGGAGGGCTCGTCCCCGACGAGATCAGTGCCCAAACTCCACTGGGGCTTCGTGAGACACACTTCCTAAACCATGAGTTTTAAAACCCTTGTTAGTCCGTAACGCTGACATGTTTGTGCTGTCCATCGCGTGCTAAGTGAGGAGGCCGACCACTTGGAGTGGCCCATGTGCCTGCCCAGCAGTGGTTGTGGAGCCTGGCCGTGTCCCAGCCCTGCCCCCGCCATCGGACGCTCTGCGCTAGCGTGTGGGTGACCTGTTCTCTGTGTGCTGAGAGCCACTGTCGTCTCATTCTAGTAAACTCAAGGATTCGGAAGCCAGAAATAGAGAGCTGTTAGAAGAAATGGAAGGTTTGAAGAAGAAGATGGAAGAAAAATTTAGAGCAGATACTGGTAATTAAAAATTATAAGTTTTTGCATTTTTTAAATAGAAGCTTTTTTTAATGAAATGGTTTTTCTTAAATTTCACTTCTTTTTGGTTTAATAGTTTTTAGTTACGTAAAGAAAGCACTTAGTCATTTCAGAGGCAACATTCTGGAATACAGTATATTCAACAATCCCTTCCCCAAAGTTACCTACAGGTCTTGGTTGGTTTTTTCTTTTGTCTTGAAAATACAGAGCGAATACACATGAGCGTAGTTAGACATCATGCCCCCCAGGACACGGACCGCTCTGTGCCCGCCCCGGCAGCTGGGGGTCAGGCTGCTCGCCTTCGCTGTCACGAGCCCGCTGCAGCGTGCAGCCTGCCGTGTGTGTGTGGCATGTCATGTTTCTCTCACGTCTTCCGGGGATAGATGGCCACGCGTGGACTGCCGGTCCGAGGGCCAGCATGCACCCGCGTCTGCGAGGGGTTGCGGGCCTCTGCTGCAGGTGCTGGCGCTCTTCTGCCCCGCCCCCGGCCGTACCCGCCTGGCCTCGCCCTGCGGGTCGGTGAGGAGCAGCCGCTCCATGTGGGCGTTCTCCTATGGAGAGCAAGATTCTCATCTTTTCATATGTTTAAGAGCTATTTGTAGGTCTTAATCTATGATTTATGTATTTGTAAATTTTGTCCATTTAAAAACCTGTAAGTTTTTAAGTCTTTTTCTTAATTCTCAGAAGCTTTATTGAGGATTAGAGCCTCGTGATTGTGGCAGAAGTTGCAAATATTCTTCCCGGGTTGTCTTCAGTGGTTTTGGGCGGGGGGGCAGGCATGGGGGTTTTTAAAAATCCTGTGTGTGCGTGTGTGTGTGTGTGTGTGTGTGTGTCAAATTTAACAGTTGTCCACTTTTTTGAGTCATAGGGAAATATTCCCACGTCCCCAGTTCATTTAATTCACCCGTGTTTTCTGTTACTACACACATGGTTTCATTTTTTTAATGTAGCATACCGACCATACGGGATTTGTGACATGCGCAGTTGGGGGGCTGGACCCAGTTTGTCTTTCTCCTGTGGCGGGTGAGCTGTTGGGTGCCAGTTAAGAAGGCCCTGTCCCGGCTGATGCCACGGCGCCCGGGTCACGTGCGAGCCGGCCACGGGCCCCCGGTCCTGCTCTGGGCAGAGCCTGGGCGCCGTCTCAGTGACAGCGAGTCTCCCGTCTGAACAGAAGGCACCGTGTTTTATGTTTTCACTCTGTCAATGTTTCTTCCGCACAGGACTCAAACTTCCAGATTTCCAGGACTCTATTTTTGAGTACTTCAACACCGCTCCTCTTGCACACGATCTGACCTTTAGGGTAAGTAATTATTTTTTAAAAAGTGAGAGGTGGATTTATGATGCTAGAAGCAGTGTGATGTGATTTGACTGCCTGTGGGGCCACAAACACACCAGTGAAGTAACACCTGAGACTTTGTCTCAGTCACGCTGGCCCCGTTGTTGGCCCGCGACGCTAAACGCATAGGTTATAGATGTTGCAGGTATTTGGAATGTGTGCAGACAGACTTCCTTGAATTAAGGGACGGCCAATTAAGAAGGTGCTCAGTGTGTCCTGGGAGGAGGTCTCCATGGACCTCTGCCTGTGCAGCGAGTGTTCCAGGCAACGTAAAAAAAAACTCCCACGCGGCAGCAGATGAAGACTCAGCCAGTCATGTCGCCGTTTTGGTGACCCCCTTAGGCTCTGCCGTTGGGCCTCAAGGACTGGTGGGAGGAGGGGCTGGTAAGGAAGCCCTGCCCGCGGCACCGTGGCGCTCAGTGCGGCGGCTCCGCCCGGGGAGCCGGCTGTCTGGTGGGCGGGTTCTGTCTTAGGAAGCGGCTGTTGCGCACGCATGATCCCCACACCCCCGTCCAGGCAGCGTGTGAGGCAAGGGCCTGCCGTGGGCGCGTGACGGTCTTTTCTCTAACAAAACAGTCTGGAGGGACCCTCGCTAGTAGCCCCGCAGAGCGAGCCACAAAGTAAAAACAGCGGAGGCAGAGCTCATCCGTGGGACTGCTGTGAGACGTTCACTGTTTCTGTTGGTTTCCAGCTCTTTACTGAGGGGGCCTCAGACTCGCAGCGAAGCTGAAGGGGTAGTACAGGGAGCCCGTCCTCGCCTGGCGCTTCGCCACACGCGCGTCCTCGCTCGCCCTCCGTAACCCTAACCCTGAGCTACTTGGAAGTGAGCTGCAGGCGTCAGTGATCCTGGGGTCCCTCCCAGTGCATTTCCCAAGGTCCAGGCCACGGCACGTGACCGTGATGTCCTTGTCACGTGGCCAGTCTGGCCCAGGGGCCGCGCTAGCTTGTCCTGTCCCTCCGCGCTCCTTTCTTCTGGAGTGGTGCCCCCGCCGCCCTGCCTCCTTTGCGACGGGGGTGCCTGTCACGTCCAGACCAGTCGTCCTGTGGAGCGTCCAGCACTCTGGGCTCGCCGGCGCTCCCCCGTGGTTAGCGAGGTCGGAACCCTGCGCAGGAGGGGTGCGGGCCCGCCCGCGGGAGCCGTTCGCCAGGGCTGATGGTGCTGACCTTGCTCGTCGGGTTGAGGTGGGCGGTGCCGGGCCTCGCCCCAGGACAGGGACCCGTGAGAGGTCAGCAGAGGCCTGGTGGCCGTCGGTCCACCAGCAGCCTTCGCCAGCAGGTTAGTGGCCATTGCCTAGGTCAGTTTTTACAAAACTCACACGGGTTTGCTCATGTCATTCTGGGTGCACGGCTGTTACGTTCACCTGCTGAAATGGTTTTGGTGAGGTTGGCGATGTTTGTCTTCTAAAGTCCTCCGTTTTTAAGGAGCAGATATATTGGACCATTAGCAGCCTCGTCCTCACATTCTGTCACAAGCCTGCTCCTGCCTCGCCTGTTTTTTCCGACACTGTGGTGGCTGAAGACTGGCATTGTTAACGGGCGGAGGCGGCCAGGAAGGCGGCGGCTTTCCTGTGACGTCAGGGGACAGAGCAGCCGTCTCTCTGCAGGTTGTGGCTGGCTCGGACCCTCTGTTGCCAGACGGTGCTAGAGCATTCCACCTGGAGGCGGGGGCTGTAGCCTGTCCCTTGCCCTCTGTGGCCAGCAGGCCTGCCTTCTCATGGTTAATTTCAGTTGTTCCTGAATATCTCTGATTGAAGTAGAAAGGACATTTATCTAATGGAAAAATACGTCCTTGGTAAGAGTGGGGTCTGTTAGGACCGTCTTTCAAAAGTCCCGCCTCCCTCCCCTCATTGAGCGTGTTCAGCACTAGAAACGATCTGCCTCCCTGACTGAGCGCTCCTGCGAGCTTCTGGGGGGGGCGGGGAGGTTGCGAGGCCTCTGGGGGAGAAGTCAGACCCGGCCTGCGCATCCCCCTTCCCTGGTGCCTCCCGGCCCCGTGGCCCAGTGCGGGCGCCTCCTCCCTCAGTCTGCACCCCTCTGATCCGTTAACAACCAAATGAAACCAGTGGGGCTGTCACATGGTGAAAACTAAATTACTTCACTTTTTCTGCTCACTTTTTCTAAAGATGGGGCCCTAACTTATGTAACATTCCTGTTTACGGGAGAAATCTGCTTACGTTGGTAGCGTGGTCACTTGCCGCCTGGCCCAGCCTCTCCCTCGCGAGGTCTGTTACAGACGCGCCCAGAGCCCGCAGCGTGGCTGTGCCTGCTGCACCACGGCCCGTAACTGCAGCGGCTGCCCGGGCCCCTCCGGTCGGGCCAGGGGGTCTCCGCACGGACGCCGGGCGCAGCTGGGGACGCCCCGCAGGCGCCTCCCGCTCGCGTCTGTGCCCGGCGCGCGTTTGCCTTGCTCCGCTGCCTAGCTGTTCCCATGCATGTGAACCGCGTGTGAGTAACAATGGGTGAAGGAGTAGCCTCTGATGACGAAGTGTTACCTTCGGGAACACTCATTAAAGTGACGTCAGTTTTAAGTGGTCTTAGGACGCAGCTTCAGCTTCAGCTTCAAATCAACCTCAGAGCGTTAGCTCCAATTTCGAGTCAGGAAATCTGTTTGAGCTGATGGGACAAAGTGCTGCTCACGGCGCCACCGAGCTCCCAGGAGGCTCTGTCGGAGGCCCGCGGGCCTCTGCGGATGTCGGGGCTTCCTCCTCACCCCGACATGGGCTCGGGGGCTTGGACCGCCCTGTCTGAGGCTGCAAGGGACAGGCAGAGTCACTCGTGAATGGCCTCCAAGGGCAGGCACTTTCCTGTCCTTCCCTGGAGATGGGGGACGTGCGGGCCGCAGGCGCAGCGCGGCGGCCCCATCAGAGTCGCCCCAGACCAGCGCCACACGCCAGCCTCGGGGGGCCGGGGGCCCCGGGATGAGAGCCCATGCTGGGGCCTCAGGTCCCCAAGGGGATGCGCATCTCAAGTACAGGACACGTTGCTAGAGTCTGAGTTCTGCAGAGTGAGTTATTTTACTCCCGCTCTTTGCCTTTTTCCCGTAGCCCAGCTCAGCCAATGAGCAAGAAGCACAGGCTCCGAAGCCAGAAGTGTCCCCGTCGGCGTCTGTGGCTGCAGGCATGGAGCAGCAGGAGGTAAGGCTGTGGCCCCTGACACTCTGCGTGCCCTCGGGTCCGCGCCCGCCCCCGCCCCCGCCCCGCGTCCGCATGCCGCTCTGCAGCTGGGGTGCACCCACTCACAGGCCCACTCGCCCTTCACCCTTGGGGGTGCTGTCAGCGCACCAGCCAGGCGAGCCGGGTGGGGCAGGTGTCTCCACAATGCAGGGAATTAAAACTGCAGAACTGCTCATTATTGATCAGTTCGAGAGAGAAGTGATCCCGGCAGGGTCTGGCGTGCAGGGTGGCGTGGAGCTAGGACGGCGCTCACCTGTCCCTGCTTTCTCCCAGGACATGGCCCGGGCCTCGCAGAGGCCACCCGCCGGGCCGCTGCCCACCTCGCAGGCCCTCACCCTGGCTGGACCAAAGGTAGGCCCTGTCTCCACCCGCAGCACCTGCTCGGTTTTAGAAGATAGCCGCTGTGCAAATCAGGCAGACATCCTTTTGGTAAACGCAGCGAGTCATGTGTTCGTCGACGGTTTGCTCCAGACGGCATGTGGCCCGGCAGGTGTCAGGACCCTGTGTTTTCTTAACCGACGCGGTGCTTCCCGAATGCGTCTTCACTGAGACACGTCCGACTTAACCCCAGGCCCCTTGCTTCGTCCCCCAGACCACACTCCCCGCCCCAGGGAGCCGCTCTGCTCTGTGTCCAGCAGGTTTCCTCTTCAGCTCTGTTCCCCGTTGCACAGGTCTGCGTGTAGAACCTTGGAGAACGGGTGGTTTGTGGGAAGGGACTTGCTGCCAATGCGAATGGAGCTGCCCTGAGTGCGCACTCTGTAACGTGTGTGGTGGTGGTTGTTTTTTTTTTTAATAAACGCTTCTGGAGAGCCGTGCACACCAGCACACACAGGCTCGAAGCAGATCAGAGCATGCCAGGTCTCCCAGGGTCCAGGTCTCGAGCTTAGCGGGCGTGTGGCCTGACACACTTCGAGACTTCCTTTTCTTTCTTGTAGACATGGCCTTTTCTAGGGTTTTAGCCATTGAGGGCCATGCCAGCCAGAGACCAGGCACTCGGTTGTGTCTGAGACTGGTGGGCGGTGCAGCTGTGCAACCCTGATACCTGCCCAATCGGGCCAGGGAGGCGGCCCCTCTATGGCTCCGGCCTCTCTCCAGGGACCCCCATGTTCATGATGCTCGAGTGATCAACCTTTCAGTTTGCAGACACCCTGCTCCTCCACTGGCCTCACCTTCGCTGTCCCCTCCCCGCAAGGACGGTGGCCTTTCTGTGCTTGTCATTAGAAACAGGGCTGCTGTGCGTTTTTTGCGTGTCTGTCAGTCTCGTGTGGGAGCCCAGCCCAAAATGTGGCCCTGGGTGGTCCCCAAGAGCCTCTCGGAGGTAGGGGGCTGGCTTATTCCAGAACACGCGGTAGCCGCACATAGCCGCGTGTGCAGCAGCCAACCTCGTGTTTTGTTGTTGTTGTTTTTTTTGCCCGACTTCTCTCTAACGTGTGGCGACGTGGTTTTGGCTCCGGCCCCCTAGGTGGGTGCTAAGCACGTAGCCTTTGGGGAGCACGGCCGGGACCACATGTATTTCAGAGTGGAATTACACATTGTCTGCTTTTCAAGATGGTGCCCAGGTCGCTTGAACTCCGACCCACTCCTGGCAGGGTGTGTGCTCACCCCCCGCTGTTCTCCCTGCAGCCCAAGGCGCACCAGTTCAGCATCAGGTCCTTCCCCAGCCCCACGCAGTGCAGCCACTGCACCTCCCTGATGGTGGGCCTCATCCGCCAGGGCTACGCCTGCGAGGGTGAGTGTCTGCCGGTCGCGCGGGCCGCGGCTCGGGGGCAGGGCGGGCGCCCTGGGCTCCACCGGTGTGTGCTGAGAGCCTGGCTTCTCGCTGCGGGGGGCGGGGGGGAGCATGCATGCTGGCCGGGGGGCCAGGCCCCATTGGTGACCACTGACCCCGGATGTGCTGTGTGCTGGGGTATCTAGCCTTTGGTGTTTCTGGGCCACACGTTAAATACACAGACACTAACAAAAGCTGATGTGCAGAAAAAGGGGGTTTTAAGTAAATTTATGGTCTTGTGTGGGGCCGCGTTCATAGCCATACTGGGTTACGTGCAGCCTGCGGGCTGCGGGTTGGGCACCCCTGGTGCACAGTCACCCTGAAAAATCAGCCACAGCAGAGAGCGGGAGACCGCCCACGGGTGCATCCTCTGGAGGAGAGCACCCCGGTCTGTGGCCTCTTGCTGTGGCCGCTGTCAGCACTTTGAACCCGTGCCCTGCCCTTGCCGAGGCCTGCGCTGCCCTCACACGTGGCGATGGGACCCCTGCGGTGCAGGCAGCCAGGGCACAGTGCCCAGGGCCCCCAGGCCACAGCTGGCCCTCGGCACCGCTCACGCGTCAGCAGCGGAGCCGCTTGGCCTGGGAGCCCTGTGCTCTTGTCCTCTGGGCTGGCCCACGCCTTCCCGGCCGCTCCTTAGCAGGGACAGGCTCTTCATTGGCTGCCGGCCCCGCCCCCAAACCCGTCACCGAAACCATCACCGTGTCACAGACGTGCACGTTGCTTATCAGGTGGTTTTGAAACTTCATGATGTGGGACGAGAGACCCAGCTTTGTGACAGTGCTTCACGTCCCGGCGCCCTGGCGGCCCTGCCCTGCCACTGTGGGCTGGCCAAGACGTCCCTTGCGCGGGCCCCCGCGCCGTGGCGGGAAGGGTCGGGAAGCTGCGTTGTCTGGGGGCCCGCCCCTGACGCGCCCTGGCGTCCGCAGTGTGCTCGTTCGCCTGCCACGCGTCCTGCCGGGACAGCGCCCCCCAGGTGTGCCCCGTCCCCCCGGAGCAGTCCAAGCGGCCCCTCGGCGTGGATGTGCAGCGGGGCATCGGGACGGCCTACAAGGGCTGCGTGAAGGTAGGACCGCGCCAAGCCTGGGGGCCCCGGTCCCAAGACCCCCAGAGACACGCTCAGAGGCAGGGCCCCTCGTGCCTCCCGCCTCTGCTTTTGGAGACGGGGGGCTGGTGCCGAGTGCATCGGACGACCACCATGCTCGGGCGCCTCCCGCCGCCACGCAGCTGCAGCAGGCCCAGGCTGCCTGTTTGCTGAGTGTGCACCTTGTCTGCACCCCGCCTCCTGTTGGGGGCAGGGTCCTCCCCGGCCCAGCCTGGGCTCTGGCCGCCGGCCTGTGAGCGGGCCCCGCCGTGCCGCAGCTGGGGGCAGCGGGTCACCCGTTGGCATCGCCAGGAGGTCCCTCAGGGCCTGACCCTTCAGGGGCCGCTCCCGCGGGCTGCGGGGTTGGGACGGCCCCGCGGGCCCAGTGATTTGCAGTGACCGCTGCCCGACTGCAGGTGCCCAAGCCCACGGGGGTGAAGAAGGGGTGGCAGCGGGCCTGCGCAGTGGTCTGCGACTGCAAGCTCTTCCTGTATGACCTGCCGGAGGGGAAGTCCACCCAGCCGGGCGTGGTCGCCAGCCAGGTCCTGGACCTCAGGTGCGTGCCTTCTCCGAGTCCCGCTCTCCTCTTCCACCGAAGCGACGGTCTGTTGCTTCATGACCTGTAACCTCGTTCACACTCTCGACCCGTGGACGCTGTGTGTTTCCAAAACGGGGACTTCCAGTGCGGGCCATAGATCTCCTGCTTTATATAGGTTTGCACAGAATCATTTGCTAAATAATATGTAACTTAAGAAAACCACATGCCCCCAAAACAAGCGGAAAACGCCCGGAGGCATGTCGGGTGTTCTGGTGCCTGACAGCTGCCCCGCGCGGCACACGCCTCCGCGGCCTCCGCCATTCGGAGGCCGCCGGGCACCCTCCTCCCCCGCGGCCTGAGTCTCCGCTTCCCCGCGGTGGGCCGGGTGTGGCAGCGTCGCGAGCCGGGGGCGCGTCGGCAGGCGGACGCGCTGGGCTCAGGGCCTGGCGTGCGCGGCCACCACCACTGGGTGGCTCCCGTCCCGCTGCCTCCCACCTCCAGTGCCACACGCCGTGGCGCAGGCGGACGCCTACGAGGGCAGGCCCGGCCTCGAGCCTGTCTGTCTCCAGCCCTGCTTCTAGGGGACTCGGGGCACTGTGGCCCGTGCCCGCGAGGGCGGCGATGTTTCCGAGTCCCCTGCACAGCGGTTCCCACTCTCTGTGTCCCCAGTGCATGGGGCGGGGTGAACAACGGGGCACCTGAGTTTCAGAAGGTCCCCAGGGGTCCTGCCTTTCCCTCGCTGTGTGTGCGCCTGGCCTAGCCACACAGAGGCCACCCGTGGACACCCCGGGGCAGTTCGCCAGACTCGAGCCCCGGGTTCAGAGCGTATTGGAAATGGGGCTGCCACGGCCATCAGCAAGCACAGGCCTGCGCGCCGACGCGGCTGGTCGGTCGGGGAGCGGGCTGCGAGGGACCGGCGCCGCAGGGCTCGGGGGCCGCCCTTCCCCCACATCCGAGCACCGACGGCCCTGGGGGTTCGCGTGTCGTCCGTGCCTGCCACTGTGGCAGCCCCCGAGTCTGCCGGTCGCCTGCTCGTTCTTATCCCACCTCACGTTGAAGGGCACAGTTGTCAAAGCGTCCTTCTTGGGGGACGGCTGACACAGGAGGGCGGCGCACGGGCTGGGGGCACGCCGTTCCCGGCGTGCTGAGTGTTCTGCTTCTCCGCAGAGACGAGGCGTTCTCGGTGAGCTCAGTCTTGGCCTCTGATGTCATACACGCTTCACGCCGAGATGTTCCATGTATATTCCGGGTATGATTCTCTTCTGCTTTTTAGAGACGTTTTGTTAATCATCACAAATCACGGTTGAAGTGAAACAGTTCTGAGCACGTCGCTGACCTGTGGGAGAGGCTGCTTCTCCAGTCTCCTTCCTTGCTCCACATTCCTTCACGCACGTGGGCAGCCACCCCTCACCACACCCAGTGCCGCGCGTGTCCCTGGGCCCGTCCCCCCGCTGGCACCGGCCCTCCCTGCTGCCCGGTGTCTCAGCTGGTCTAGGTACCATGTGCCTGAGGCCGGGAGCTCCCCTGCCCTCCCTGCGACTTGCGGGTCGTGACCCGGAGCGAAGCCGGAGCACCCAGCAGCTGTGGCTCGTGCGCTCGGCCGGCCCAGGCAGAGCGCCTACCTCCAAGTCCCTCCGAGTCACCTCAAGGGTTGTGGTGCGAGGAGGCCGTGGATCAGGGAGAGACCCCCGACCCCCCCGTGGGGGGATTTTATAAATGCAGTCAAGTTATGGTTGACAGACAAGACTAAGCCCATGAACCGTTTGCTACTAAGTCGCATCTGTGTTCAGAAAGCACCTCTGTGTTCGGCACAGAGGACGGCCACCGCCGTGCGCCCAGCAGCAGCTGAGGCCGTCCGGGTGTCCCTACGCTGGGCCCGCTCTGCAGAGCGGGCATTAGTCTGAGAGCCTCCCGCCGGGGCTGTGTTCTGAGAACCCTGAGTTAAGGTCCTCCAGGAAAGCAGCTTCAGAATGGGCGTCACCCCGCAGTTTGGGCAAGAGCAGAAATGACTGGAACCTGGGCAGGGGACACGGGTGGCCTGGGCGTGGCGGTCCCTGGGCCCAGCGCAGGCGCCCCGGAGCTGCGCCCTCCCTGCGCCCCCGCCAGGGCGATGGCGGCCAGGCTGGGCGCCGTGCTGGGGCCTGGCCGTCTCACGGCTCTTCTCTCTGTCTTGTTTTCCGGCGTGAAGGTGACCACCTCCCTCTTAGGAACACCTTCTAAGACCAGCTCACTGCTCATTCTGACAGAGAACGAGAACGAGAAGCGGAAGTGGGTGGGGATTCTGGAGGGGCTGCGGTCCATCCTGCACAAGAACCGCCTGCGGAACCAGGTGGTGCACGTGCCGCAGGAGGCCTACGACAGCTCGCTGCCCCTCATCAAGGCGGTGCTCGCGGCCGCCGTCCTGGGTACGTGCCGCGCGCCCGGGGCGCAGAGGATGCCGCCGCGGCCGCACTGTGAGCGGGGCCGCGCTCCCTCCCCCCACCCCCGCCCCCGCCCCCCGCGCAGAGGGGCAGGCTGGCTGTGCGGACCGCTCACGGGCTTTGTGGTCTTGACAGATGGCGAGAGGATTGTGGTCGGCTTAGAAGAAGGGCTCTACGTCATCGAGGTGACCCGAGACGGTGAGTGGGCGCCGTCCGGGAACGTGCAGGGTGGAGACGTCGTCACTGGGCGTGGAGACTGTCCTCCCGTCAGAACTTTGTAACAAGGGGATGGGGCAACAGTCAGGGAACACAAGGCGGGTGCCGCTCAGCAACTGCCACGTCCCTGGAGTGTCCCGGGGGCCTCCAGCCAGGGCGGCTGCCGCGGGCGAGCTCAGGCCGGGCGGGCCGACGTGCGGCTTCCGCTCTTCAAGGAGCGGGTGAGCAGGGGGCCGGGTGGGGAGAGCTCCCCGGGAGGAGGGTCATCTGTTCCCCTACTTCACTGAGACTTCCCTCCCTTTACTGCAGATTGTGACAGTTCGTTCTTAGAAAAGGCTAAAGCTCCCTGCATGTCCCCTCCCCACCCCCTGGGCGTCGGGACAGGAGGGGTTGGGATTCTAGAAGACTAGGGGACTCGGGCCAGCACGGGCCCTGTACCCTGGCTCTGTCCCAGGGTGGGCGTGCCCCTTCCTGACGGGCGGGATCCCCATGCACGCACGGCTCGCCGTGGACGAAGGAGGCGCACCCGTGGCCTGGGGCTCGGGGGGGCGCTGCCAGGTCCAGGCCCCGCTCCCGTGAGGGCGTCAGGAGCGCTGGGCGACTCTGGGGCGCAGAGGGGGCGCGTGCTTTCAGGGAGTTTGTCTCGGGGCCCGTGAGCTCGGAGACAGCCCTCTGCTCCCACTGCAGCCCAGGGGTTCCGGGCCTGAGTGGTGAGCAGGCAGAGGGCTCCCCAGGGTCCGCGAGGCCCCGCGTGTGGGGACCGAGGCCAGGCTGGCCGCGCTGGGGAGGGGCCGCCCCGCCCCCACCTCACGCCCTGCCCTCCCGCAGTGATCGTGCGCGTGGCGGACTACAAGAAAGTGTGCCAGATCGCGCTCGCCCCCAGGGAGAAGGTCGCCGCGCTGCTCTGCGGCCGCAACCACCATGTCCACCTCTGCCCGTGGTCGGCCTTCGATGGCGCGGAAAGCAACGTTGACATCAAGCTTCCAGAAACAAAGGGCTGCCAGCTCCTGGTGACGGCAACACTGAAGAAGAGCACCGCCACCTGCCTGTTTGTGGCGGTGAAGCGGCTGGTCCTGTGCTATGAGGTCCAGAGAACGAAGCCTTTTCACCGGAAGGTCGCGGAGCTCGTGGCCCCCGGCACGGTGCAGTGGATGGCCGCGCTCAAGGACAGGCTCTGTGTTGGCTACCCCTCGGGGTTTGCCCTGTTGAGCACCCAGGGCGATGGGCAGGCTCTGACGCTGGTAAATCCCAATGACCCCTCGCTTGCGTTCCTCTCACAGCAGTCTTTTGATGCCCTTTGTGCTGTGGAGCTCACGAGCGAGGAGTTCCTGCTCTGCTTCAGCCACATGGGACTGTACGTGGACCCGCAAGGCCGGAGGTCGCGCGCGCAGGAGCTCATGTGGCCTGCGGTGCCTGTTGCCTGTAGTATGTATATGTTTTCTGTTGCCATACCCCTGCCGCTGCTCTCCTCGCCCACCAGCGTGTGTCGGTTCTGCTTCGGTTTGTCTCCGGCTCCCTCGGCCAGGGAGCTAGGGAGGCACCAGGAGAGGGGGGCTCCACGGCTCTGCCACGGGGAGCGGCTCCCGTGCAGACCTCGGGCCGCTGGGTGGGCTTGCCGCAGCCCCAGGCCCCGTCTGCCCACAGAGGCTGTCCCCACGCTCGCACAGCGACAGAGCCAGTGGAGGGCGTTCGGGTGCCGGGGGCATTTCACTCCCCGTCCAGGCCGGAGCCCCCGCAACCCCCCCCCCCCCGGGGCAGACAGAGAGGCAGGAGCAGTTTTGGGAACGGGCGGCGTTAGCCCATGTAGCTGACATGGCTTTTCCTGTGCGTGGCAGCGCCGGCGGGAGCCACGGAGGCCCCTGGAGCCGGGCCCCCTGCATCGCCCCCCGCCCCGGCTTCCCACTAGGCATCCGCCGCCGGAGGGGCACACAGCCCGTGGGGGCAGCAGAAGTGGGGTTATGGGGTGGGAGGTGGGTGTCGTATTTGTCCTCAATCACCTAAAAGTGCAGCTTTTTGTCTGTCTCGTCACTGGTTTTGCCGGTTTGGCAGAGACCCCGGGGCGTTGGGACCAGGAGCTCAGGCCTGTGGGGTGTGCTGCCCCCCTTGGCTCCTGGGGCTCGCTGGGTGTGTGTACCGCCCTGTCGGCCAGGGCTGGGGCCCTGCAGGCAGCCCGGAGCCCACTGCTGTGACTCCCGGTCCTCCAGCCGCGCCCCCTCGTCCTTGTGGACAGCAGCACAGGCGCGGCCTCAAAGCCCCCCGGGCCCTACTCTGCAGGCTCTTGGCCCCCAGAAAAGAGAAGGAGCGAGGCGCAGAGTCCAGACCCCAGGCGCCCGTGCGCGAGCTGTGGGGCACCTGGTGCTCCCAGTGCGGCCCCCACTTCATGGTCTCCCACCTCCTCCCTCGTGCGTGAGGCGGCGGCGCTCGGTCCGTCCACGGGCTGGTGCGCTAACCCTGCTGCCCGCGCCTGCGCCCGGCGCCAGACACCAGGCGCCGTGTGCGCTCAGCCTCCCCATCGCGGCTCCAGGAGGACGCTGGGCCCACAGGGGCGGGGCCCTGCACGGCCACACGGCAGCTCAGGTGGCCTCGGACCTGCCCGACTCCACGGCTCCTGCTCTGCCCGCTGACACCAGCTTCTCAGCCCACGTTTCTCTTTGGCCTCACGTCTCAGTTTAGCGCCTCGCCGCCCAGAGGCGTCCTCCCGGCTCCTCGCAGATGGCGCCCCAGGTGGGCGTGAGGAGGAGGCCCTGAGCTACCTGTCAGGACAGGGTCCTCCAGCCCCTGCTGGAGCCCCTGTTTCTGCGTGTGGCCCTCAACAGGACGGCCTTGTGGTTCGTCTGAGCTGTCACTTTTGAGAAGTCTGGTGACCAGCTCCAGCATCCTGCCTGCTTCGTAACCCTGTTTTCTTTTTTCTTCTTCCAAAAAAAAGGCTTATTCTGGCCTTTTGAAACGTAACAGCAGCACTGCAGAGACTCGTAGAGAGCCGCCTGTGGTCAGGGGCCGGGAAAGTCTGGCTTTCACCCATGGGGGTCGAGGGGCCGGGAACCAGGGCAAGCGGGGGCTCCTGCGCAGCCGCGACGGCGTGCCTCAGGCTGCAGGGCGTGTAGGCACCCGCTGCTGCTTCCTCTCAGGCGTTTCTCTGCCGTCCTAAATGTGGGAGTGTCCTCCTGGGCCTCAGTGCTGGATGGGCCAGCGGTCCTTGGGCCCCTTTCTGTGGTGCGCTAGGTGGCTTTTCCGTCACCGGTGGACTTGCCCTAACTTAGAGCAAGCAGGGGAGGGCAGGTGCAGGACACGCTCCCGCCTCTCCCGAGGCAGAGCGGACACCCAGATGTCCTTACGTCCGAGGGTGGGAGGGCAGAGCTGCCGCCCCAGAGACAAGCGGTGGCTCTTGCGTGTGTAGATCTTTACCCAGACACCTGACCTCCTGGCTTCCATCATAGAAGGAACATGCTTTGCAGAACAGGACATGGGCCCCTCTCGACTTTTCACGTGTTGAGCCCTAAGCCATGAGCCCCGGAGCAGTTGTGCCGGGAAGCTCAGTGACAGAGCTGGCCTGAAAGGTCACTGGCGTTGGTGCCACGACATTGCAGTGCTGCTAGTGGCAGCCGTGGCTCCAGGGCACGGCCGCTGGGCGGGGCTGGCCGGAGCCTCAGGAGTGGGCGTGGGCTCATGTCTGCGGCCAGTCCTGGCCTGCACTGGGCCGAGGCCAGTGCGGCCCCCGCACCTGCGGGGGGCCCAGGTTGCGGGCCTGGCCGCTGCCCTCGAGGCGGAAGGCGCCAGGCCCGGCCACGCTGCGCCCTCACCCTGCTTCACTCCGTCTGCGCCAGGTTGTAGCGCCTCGCACGTCACAGTGTACAGCGACTACGGCGTGGACGTCTTCGACGTGCACACCATGGAGTGGGTTCAGACCATCGGCCTGCGGAAGGTGAGGCCTGGGCGGGCGGGCAGGCGGGCGGCCTCCTCTGCTGAGCGCTGGCCACGCGGCGACCTTCCCTGTCTGGCTTCCAACAGATCAGACCGCTGAACTCGGAAGGAACCCTCAACCTCCTGAACTGCGAGCCTCCCCGCCTCATCTACTTCAAGAACAAGTTCTCAGGTGAGCCCCTCCCTGCAGGAGGAGGGGAGGGAAGGGGGTTCCCCAGTGGCCGTGCCCCGTCCCGCGCTGCCCGGTGCAGGCCCATGCGTGACCGCGAGCACTGCCCCTGCCCTGCAGGAACTGTGCTCTCCGTGCCCGACACCTCCGACAACAGCAGGAAGCAGATGCTCCGGACCAGGAGCAAGAGGCGGTTTGTCTTCAAGGTGCCGGAGGAGGAGCGGCTGCAGCAGCGGCGGTGAGAGCAGGGGCTGCGGCCTCGCTGCAGGCGCCGCGGCGCCCGCCAAGACGCGCCCTGTGTCTGTAAACCCGCACACACCTTCTTTCCCCAGGGAGATGCTCCGAGACCCAGAACTGAGGTCCAAGATGATATCCAACCCAACCAACTTCAACCACGTGGCCCACATGGGCCCGGGCGACGGCATGCAGGTGCTCATGGACCTGCCTCTGGTGAGCTCCTGGCGCAGGGTGGGGCCCCAGTCTGTGGTTCTGGGTATACCCACCAGGGGCACTTCCGTGGGTTTGGTGGGCTGTTTCGTGATGGAATTAGCTTGTCAAAAATAATCTCTAAGTGACAGCTTAATGTGAGCTGCTAACTTTTTTTCACTCTGAAAAAACAGGTATTCTATAGGGTTCAACTTGGTCTAAAATTCCTGCTGCCAACCCTTAGCTCAAAACATAGCCGATGTTGCTGGGAGGGCCTTCCCAGCCGGGCAGTTGGCGTGGCGGCTGGCCCACCTGCCGGCTGCGCCCCCTCTGCTCACGCTGTCTTCTCTGCCCAGAGCGCGGCGCCCCCCGCCCCAGAGGACAGGCCCAGCCCTGCCGCCCCCAGCCTGGCCCGGCAGCCTCCGCCCCGGAGCAAGCCCTACGTCTCATGGCCCTCGTCAGGTACCCAGGGCACCGGGGGTGGGGCCCGCGCAGCTGGGGCTCCCCTCCCTGAGACGAGGGTGTCTTTGTGCCCCAGGTGGGTCTGAGCCCGGTGTGGCAGTGCCCCTGAGAAGCATGTCCGACCCCGACCAAGACTTCGACAAAGAGGTAGGGCCGCCTGATGAGGGGCTGTGGCCCGCAGGGAGGGGAGGCCCTGCGACCCCTCCGCAGGAAACACTCCGCCTCCCGGGAGGCCACGCGGGGCCCGGGGTAGGGCGGGCCAGCCCAGGCGCCCCCGCAGAGGGAAGTGCGGCCCCGCAGCAGGGGACCTGGGCGGTCGCTGGGGGTTGTCCTCGGCCCCCCTGGAGCCCTGCACTGGGGAGTGAGGGCAGTGCCAGGGGAGGGGCAGGGTGGGCTCTGGTCCTGCACCTGGGGGCGGCAGGTGACCGTCCACCACCTGGGAGTGGCGGCGTGGCTCCGTCCCGCGGTCGGGCTGAGTCCTCCGCAGCCTGGAGCCGGGCTTCCTGGCATGCTCTGCCCTGAGCCCTCTGGCTCCTCTGCCCGCACCCCTCCCCTGCCATCCTGCCGCGTGGCTGCTGGAGGCCGGCCCCCCGGACGCCGAGGGGCCATGGGGCCGTCTCCCTGGGCGCTGACTGCGGGGAGGGGCATCCCTGCACAGCTGAGTTAATGACTGCCGTCCTGAAAACGTCCAGCCGGCTTCCCCTTGAGACTCTCCTGTGCAGTCTCGAGCATGTGGACGTAACAGGCCTGGGGGTTCCTGCCCTGTAGCGCGTAGGCAGCGTCCTGCGTCTTGGAGAGCGTTCCCCGTGGGCCTCGTCCTCCATCAGCTGCTCGGGGTCCAAGTCGGGGGCTACCGTGGGGGACCCCCAGGCTCGGTGTTCCAGACCCTGCATTTGTGCACAGTGAGGCTCACCTCTCTGGGCCTCAGTTTCCCCTGGTGAGATGAGGTGAGGAGTGGCTGGCACCGAGGGCAGCAGGGACACGAGCACAGGTCTGTGCCCATGGGTGGCTCACGGAGAGGGGCACGGAGCTGCCCGCCGGCCCCTGCCCCCCGAGGCCCGCCCTGCCGCTGCCGGGGCGCGCTGGCCAGCGCAGGGCTGGGAGGTGGGCCCCCAGGGGTTCACAGCCCCCCGTTCTTCCTGGGTCTGGCCGCCACTTCCAGCGCGACCAGCGTTTCCCCTCCAGCCCCAGCGGCCCTTCCTCAGCCACCGCGCCACCGAGTCGTCTCGCTTCCCTGGCCGAGTTACGGGAACTCTGTGTCAGTCGTGGTTCTTCACTGTGGCCAGTGCTTCTAGTGTCACTCGTCTTCCGTTGTGTTTTAATTCTAAGGGTGTCCTGTCTTACAGAAATGTTTAATTTTCTTGCAGTCTAGCCTGCTGGTCTTTTTTAGGTTAGATAAATTACAGTTCTCTTGTAGCGTGAGAGCACGGCAGGGCTTTCTTTACTGTTTGCCATCGTATTGTGAAAGTGTGTCCGTGCGCGCACACGTGCGAGACACGCAGCGTGCGGGTGCGACTTGGTGTGACTGTGTGTGACGCCCAGCGAGAGGGTGCGGTGTGGCGGGGGAGCGGCCTCCCTGCGCTGCCGCTGCCCCTGCAACCCCTCACTGGCTGAGGCAGCGCCGCACCCCTCCAGCGGGAGGAGCCTTCTCAGCGAGGAAGTGGCAGTGGCGTTCGTCAGGCGCTTTTGCACGTTTTCCCGTGCGACTTTATTCCTTGTCCCCCCATCCTCCTGGCGCAGGCAGAGTGGGCCCCTGGGAGCCGGGCCTCCGCGGCTGGACGTGTTCTTGGGCAGCGCCTGGCAGGCTCGGTCTGCGGCGACAAGGCTGCGCCGGGCCGCCCCGCCCTCTCTGCGTCCGGCTGCCCGCGGTGGCGCTGGTCTCTGACCGCGCCCGCCTCGGCTCCGCCGGAGGACGCCACGCTCCTTGTGGCCATAGCGTGGGGAGTTCCTTTCCTGCCATGATCACAGGATCACAGACTTCGACGACTTTAGAGATGGGTTTTGTTTTTTGTTTGGTTTGTGTTTTAACTTTTTTGTCCTGAACTATCTTGAAAGTTTTCAAAGCTCCAGAAAAACCGCAAGAGCAGCGGGGAGAACGGCCCAGGTCAGCGCTGCCTAACCCACGTGCCGCCAGGAGGTGGCGGCTCCCCCCGCCCCGGCCCGGGCGCCCCAGCGGCCGTGTGCCCAGAGCGGGCGCATGCGCGTGCAGGCCAGGGTCCGGCGTCTCAGTCTTCAGTCTTTAGTCTTTGTCCAGGCTTTGGTCGTTCATGGCCTTGAATTTGTCTTGGAAAGTCTAGTTCTCCTGCATCGGGCTGGTCTGGTTTCTGAATTGGGTGAATGGGGGCGTCCCTCCCTCTCTCCGGGCCACTGGTCTCCCCAGGGACGGAGGGACAGGTGAGTGGGCGGAGGCGGCCCACGCACACAGTGTGAACCACGCGAGCCGGTCGCTCGTGTTGACCCCTCGCCTGGGGCAGGGCTGGCCCAGCACAGCCGTCCAGTTGAGAGCGCAGTGCGCACGTCCGCCTTGTGTCCTCCCGGCGTCCCCGCCCCACGTCCTTCGCTCCAGGGCCCTGTCCAGGGGCACACGTCGCGCTTGGCCGCCCTCCCCGTCAGACCCCGCCCCCCCCGTCAGACCCCGCCCCCCGACCGGGCCTCGGCCGTTCTGTGCTGGCACGGCAACAGCGTCGTCCTCCAGCAGCTCCTGGGTTTGGGTTCGTTTTGAGATGCAGGTAGCGTGTCCCGGGCGGGAGCTCCTCACGGGGGACCGGGCGTCCTCGGGGGTGAGGTGCACACCACGCGGACGCGGGGCCGTGCTTGGTGGCTGCTGAGTACATTCAGTGTTGTGCGACCAGCTGCTCCAACCAGTTCAAAACATTCCCATCCCCCAAAATAAAGCGCCCCCCACCAGCCCCTGGCGCCACTCACCTGCTGTCGCCAGGGTGCGGTGCGCCCAGCCTTCCACGGGGCGGAGCCGTGCGGCTCAGGGCCTCCGGGTCTGGCTTTCTTCCCCGAGCACCGAGCCCTCAGGGTCCCTTCAGGTCGTCTTCCGTCGTGGGAGGCACCGCATCTCGTGCTCGGTGGGCGGACGGGCTCACTTGGGTTGCCTCCACCTCTGGCTGCTACGAGCAGCTGTACTAGGAACAGGCGTGTGTGCGCACGCGCGCGCGTGCACCTGTTCTTTCACTTTCTCTGGGTGTGCGCGCAGGCGCGGAATCACTGGGTCACGTGATTACTTTCCGAGGGGCCGCCGCACTACGCAGTGGCTGCACCGCATCGCGTCCCCACCAGCGGCACGCGGGGTGACGTTGCTCGGCATTCTCGCCAAGGCTTGTTATTTTCCTTCTTTTTAATAGTCATCCTACCAGGTGTGACGTCATATCTTGTTGAGGTTCAATCAAGTGCATTCCCCTAGTGATTACTGATTCCAAGCATCACTTTCATGTGCTTGGTGGCGCCTTGGAGAAATGTCTACTCAAGTCCTTTGTCCAAGGAGCAGGGAGCTGCCAGATCTGTCCCCCGCAGACTCGCCTGTCAGGCTGGGCAGCACGGCCCCCGCTGCGCAGGCCTGGGCGGGGGGCTCATGCTGTCCCCCGCTTTGTGTTAACAGCCTGACTCCGATTCCACCAAACACTCGACCCCGTCCAACAGCTCCAACCCCAGCGGCCCGCCGAGCCCCAACTCCCCCCACAGGAGCCAGCCCTCCATCGAAGGCCCCGAGCCACCAGCCTGCGATGCCTGAGGCCGCCCGGGGCCGGGAGCTGGGCGCGGCGCCCGTGCCAGTGCCAAGAGCGAGCTGGCCCTCCAGCCACGTCCGAGGAAAGGCAGCGTCGGCGTAGGCGCAGGGAGGGGAAGGGAGTCTTTGTTACAGTGTATCCGTTCTACGTCGCGTCGCCCGGGACACCAGACCAGGCCCTCCGTCCGCCTGGCCACGAGGCGATGCCGTTCCCCTTGCACACAAAGGGCCAGCGTGGCCGAGAAGGTGCCCAGGCCCGCTGAGGCCGCCGCTCAGAGACCCCCGCGGCCCCGGGGCGCTCGCTTGGCACACAGGCAGCTTGGACACCCAGCCACCAGCCCACGCCCCTTCCTGAGACTGCTCGGCCCGTAGGAGAAGAGTAGGAAGTTGTCTGTCACCCAGTGTCACTAGAATTCTGCAGACAGAGGCAAGTGGAGGTTAGCGCGTGGCCTTCTTACCCCCTTAGCCATGGACACAGGCCCCGTACGAGTGACGCCCGCCCTGCCCTGGGTCCCCTGTGTGTGAGTCCCTCCCCGGTCACAACCACGAAGCGTCACCAGTATCTACTACTGTGAAGTCAGCTGTGCTGTTTCCCACTCGCTCCCTAGCTCCACCTCCTCCATGACAGCGGGGTGTCGTGCTACAGCCAGGACACCCCCTGCCCAGTCCCCCGCATGGAGCCCGAGATAGTGCCCGCGTGGATCGTGCAGACTCGCCCACACTCCCGCGCACCGTCCCCCCGCCCCGCAGCGCCGGGTGTGCGCCCACCCTGTCACGTGGGGGCCTGCGGGCCTGTGGCCTGTCCCTCGGAGACTTGTGGTCACCTGGTCAGCACACAGCTCGTCCTCAGCCCAAGACGAGCTGCCCTCTGCTGTCCCACGGGTCGGCGTCCTCAGAGATGCTGCTGAAGACATGCACTTACCTGCGTCGGCACTGAGCAAGGGGCCCCCCCGGCCTGCTGCGGGCGCCACACCCCCAGCCCCCGCCGCGCCCGCCCCAGGGCCTTCTGCTGGCGCTGGCACCTGCTGGGGGTCTGGTTTTTACTTTTTTAATGTAAGTCTATGAGTCTTTGTAATTATTGAATCGTGAGAACATTTTTGAACAATTTACCTGTCAATAAAATATAAGATGGCAGTTTTAAAGTTCTCAGTGGTTTCTCTGAATGGAATGACCTGTCACCTGGCTGTGCCTAGACACCCCTAGCAGCGCCTTGTGCTGGAAATGCCCCGAACCCCAAAAGGCAGGCAGAGCTGCTCTGGGCATTTCCTCAGGGGTCACGCAAAAGGCACTGTGGCCCTGGCTGGTGTGGCTCAGTGGACTGAGCGCCGGCCGGTGACCAATTCCCAGTCAGGCCAGGCCCCCAGTGTGGGGTGCCTGAGAGGCAACCACACGTTGATGTTTCTCCCTTTCTCCCTCCCTTCTGTCTAAAAACAACTTTAAAAAGGCACTTGTGCCCGTGGGGCAGGACGGGCCTCGGAACAGGCCCTTTTGCCTGCCAGTGCGGTGTCGGGGCCACCTCGGGAGAAGCTGTGCAGGGAGGCAGACCCCCGCCCCCAGCCCGCAGCCGCTCTGGGGACCGGACAGGGCAGCCCAGAGCCACCGGGGGGCGCGCGACCGCGGGGGCTCGGGCTCGCGCTCCGCCGGGGAATCCTGCGAGGCAGGACGCGGCCTGGGGCGGGCGCGGAGCCTCCGGCAGAGCGCGGGCAGCGACAGGGCCTGCGCGAGGGCGGTGCGCGGCCTGGAGCGCCGGAGCCACTCCGGCCGCCTACCGGTGCGGTCACTGAGGACCTAGGCCCGTCTCGCTGTGAGGTCTCCGTGGTCACGGTCGGGAAGGTACCCCAGGAACTGGCCGCAGGGCCCCATACAGAAGGGGCCCGTCCCATCTGCTCCCTCTGTCCAGGCACCCCCCGCAGCCGCCTGGGCGCGGGAGCCACGGGGACCGCCCGAGGCGCCGGCGGGGCCTTTCCGTGCCGCGGCGGCGGTCACAGCGGCTGGGGCCACCCGAGGGGGCAGGCGGGCGCTGGCCAGCGGCTGGGAGTGGCCGCGGGCAGCCAGGCCTCGCGCCCGACGGGTTCGCGCTCGGCCCCGGGGGGACTGTCTGCGCGGCAGGAGACCAGGGTGCCCGTCACGGGTCTGCATCAGGGTCCAAGTGCCATTTTTTTAAAAAAGTGAAATGTTACTGCTGCAGCACAAGGAATGGCGGCGTTCACACGTGGGAGGCGGCTCAGGACCATGCCAAGCATCCAGCCCGATGTCTGAAGCCAGCGCTGGGGCGGGGGGGGGGGGGCAGGAGCAGGGTTTCCGGGCCCAGGTGTTGGTTCCACAGAAAAGCCGTTTGGCGGCGCCATTTCCCTCACACACCAAGTGCCGCTCTGGCGAATGGCTGCCCTCGGAATGGGACGCGAAGCCTGGCCTTGAGTGACAGGCAGCAGGCGCCCCGGCCCTCGGACCCCCGCGCCGCGCAGAAAGGAACTGGCCCACCTGTCCCTGCAGGACGGCGCCGCGGGCCTGCCCTCCGGGCAGCCAGGCTGGGGGGGCGCCCGTTTCCCTGCGCAACGCCTTAGCGGACCCGGGGGCAGGGTCGGGGCGCCCACGACCCTCACCCTCGCCACGGCCTCGGCCTCCGCACTCCCCCTTCCGTGGCCGGCGCCGGCTTCTCCCGTGGGCTCCCCCAGCTCCGGGGCACAGCCTGCCCGGTTCCGGGCGCACTGTCGCAGACGCGAAGCCTCTGGCCACCCGCGGGCGGCGCTCGGGGCTGCCCTGGGCGGGGCCCCGGGAGCCTGCGGGGACAGGCGGAGGGCCACCCACTCGTCGCCCCAGCTCGCACCGGGCGGGGACGCGGCAGACACCGTGTCGGGGGAGGGCAGGTGTAGGAAACCCATTTATTGGGCAAGGCCGCCCTGTGCTTGGCCGGCAGGGCGGTGAGGGGTGGGAGTGATCCCGCTGGTTGGGAAAGGCACGCTCAGGCCTCCGCCTCCGCCTCCTCAAAGAGCGGGTTGACGAAGTAGCTCTGGCTGGTGGTGCTGGCGTCCGCCTGCGAGGCCGGGGGCGCTGGGGGCGCTGGGGGCTCCGGGGGCTGCGGGGAGGCAGAGTCAAGGGCCGTCGGGCGCCGGGCCCGGCCGCGGGGAGGCCCGCCCCCCAGCGCCGCCGCCACTCACCTGCTCCACGGAGCCTGCCGCGCCGAACACCGGGTTGGGGAAGCCCAGAGGCCCGGCCGCCGCGTCGCGCCTGCTCCACCTGGAGGCGGGAGCTCCCGTGAGCCCCCGAGGCCCCACCTCCTGCTTTTACCCCGCACACCTGAAACCCCGTCTCCTGCCCGAGCCCCGCCCACCCGAGCCCCGTTCCGCGTACCTGAGCCACCCCTTGCGGTGCAGCAACAGCGCCCCCGCCGGCAGCACCAGCAGCAACAGGAACAGCGCGGCCGCCACGCCGCCCGCCAGCCCCGCGCGCGACCCCGACTGCTGCAGACCCGCCGCCGAGCCGTCCCCGACGGGCGCGCCCGACTCCCGGACGGTGGCCGCCAAAACCCCGAGGGCCTCTCCTGCAACGCAGGGCGGGGCTCAGTCTCCCCGAGCGAGGCGCGGCGGGGCCAGGCTGGGGGCCAGGCGGGGCGCCCGCGGTTACCGTGCTCGGCGACGTCGGCCAGGAGGGCCCGGGCCAGGCGGCCCGCGCCGCCCGTGCCGCGCCCCACCTCCACCAGCACCACTTGGATCTCTGTGTCGGCCCCCGCGCGCGTGGCCTCGCGGGGCTGGGGCGAGCGCGGCACCTTGGACACGGCCGCCTGCAGCTCCCGGTACTGGGGCTGGGGAAGGGGATAGGGTTAGCCGGGGACTCCGCCCCTGGAAACTGCGGGGACGTTGCGGGTAGGGACACACGGTGGACAGGTGGGCGGAAAGGGGAGGCGTCCGTGAGGAGGTGCAGTGGGGCCCCCGCGTCCCTGGCAGGAGGATGCCCGGGCCGGGGGGCGGAGCGGCGGGGCCGCATTACCAAGGTCAGGAAGTTGTGCAGCAGCCGCGCTCGGTACTGCTCCAGGTCAAAGGCGGGGCCGTGGGTCAGCGACACAATAGCGCCTGCGACAGGAGGGCAGGGGTCAGCGCCGGGGGTCCGGACCGGTAGGGAGACTGAGCCAGGGTGGCCAGGCCGTCCCAGCAAGCAGGGGCCGGGCGGGGACGCTCACCGCAGAGGTCGCAGCATTGCCCCTGGGGCCGGAGGGCATCGTGGCAGGTGGCCGGGGGACAGCGGCCGCCCAGGGGCTGGAGCAGGGCCGCGCAGATCCATGGCTGCGCCTGGAGGCAAGGGACGGGGTTGGCGCGAAAAGCGCGAGGGGCAGACCTGCGGACCCCGGCCCAGCGCCGGCCTCGCCCCCGCGCGGAGCCCTCGCCGCCCGGCCGCGAGCCGCGCTCACCTCGGCATTGCCGCAGACGCAGCCCGACGGGTCGGCGCAGGGCTCGGGCTCCACGCGCAGCGCGCCGGGCCCGTGGAAGCGCAGGCGGCCGGCGCGGGACGCCACGAAAGCAGCCAGGTCCTCGTCGCGCGTGAGCTTCTGCGGTGGCCGGGTCACCAGCGGAGTCAGACCGAGAAGGCAACATCTGAGTGCTCGCAGCCCACGCGTTCAGATGACAGGGGTGGGAGGCGCCCCGGGGAGGGGTCCTGCCAGGGGCCGAAGTGCCGGAGACCCGCGTCCCTGCCCCGCCCCCGCGCGCCCCGCTCACCTGGCCCAGAGCCCAGACGCTGCGCACGCGCAGGGTGCGGAAGCCGGGGCCGAGGCCCACCCGGAAGGAGCCGTCAGACGGGAAGACGACGTCGTCGTGGTGGCAGGGCACGCGTTCGGCGTCCACGGAGAAGAGGCTGTGCGCCGCGTCTCTGGAGCGCCACAAGCGCGGGTCGTGCCACGAGAAGCGGTCGGGATCGAGGAAGAGCGCCGGGGCGCCTGGCGGGCGGCCGGGCAGGCGTGTGTCCCTGAGCCCCGCGGGGACCAGCCCTCCAACCAGGGCCCCGCCCGTCAGGCCCCGCCCACAAACCGCACTTTAACCCGCACAAGCTCTCACTCGGGACCCGTCGGGATAACGCCCTCCGCGCAGGCCCCTCCCCAGACACGCCCCTCTACCAGGCCCCGGCTCCGACCCGGCCCCAAGGCGGGTCCAGGCCCCGCCCCCCCACCTGCGCAGCCCGCCGCGTCGGGGCGGGGCTCCGCGGCGCCGAATCCTGCTCCCGAGGCCAGGACCAATTCCCCGTCCAGCGGCAGGAGCTGCAAGGAGCACAGACAGGCAGCGCCGCGCCGTGGTCCAAGGCGCCAGACATTCTGGCCCGCGCCCGCCCGGCCCCTGCGACCCTGGGGAGGAAAACCCAGACAGCGGCCAAGGGGGCGGATCCCGGGCTGTGCAGTCCCGGCCTCGGGTGCCGAAGGAGCCACAGCAGCAACAAAGCCAGGAGGGGAAAGGCTGACTGGCCCCCTCCGCTCCCCTCCGTCCCAAGCCTCAAGATCCCACCCCTCCTCCTGTTGTCCCTCCTCGGGGCTGGCACTGGGGGCTGAGCTGCGGGAGCGTCCAGTGCAAGGGCCATGAGGGGTTCAGCCTCATCAGGGGCGCAGCCTCCTGCCCCAACCCGCTGCCTGGGGCCCGCTCCTTAGCTGTCCCCAAGCACTAAGGAGCTGACCCCTGGGCGGATGTGAGGTCACAGGCCAACTACCTCCCCACCTGAGCGTGCAGCCCGGTGACAGCAAGTCAGCCCCACCCACAGGCACCAGGGCGAGCCTTGGGGACAGACGGACGTCAGGTGCCTCCGGAACAGGGGCGGCATCGGCATTGTGAAGCATCAACTCGTTTTCGTAAAGAACCGAAAGGGGAAGTATAAATAAATTATGAAAACTGATACTTGAAAAACACAATCGGAGAGAGGAACGTGAATACGGACCCAGCTGAAGACCCGCCAGGGACGCGTGTTGCTGTTCAGGAACTGCCTCCCAGACAGCGGGAAAGGGCGCGGAAGGACGGGAGATCGGGGTCACAGTCACGGTGTCACAATTCAGATACAAGGACTCGGGCCGGGGTGGGGGGAGATATTTGAAGGGACAGTGAAGGTGAAGTTTCCAGATTTGAAGAAAGCTGGGGAACTTCGGATTGCAAGGTCTCAGTGAGTGCCCGTCAGGAAGTAAGGAAGGTGACACCTAGACAGGGGACAGTGTCCTGTGGAGGGTTAAAGGCACAGGGAACATTCTGAGAGCTTCAGAGAGAGAGAAAGATCGCCCAGGGAAGAAAACTTTTCAGAAACCAGGTTTCTCAGCAACAACAATGGACTCAAAGAGAATAGAATATTTTGTATATTAAAGGAAAAAAACTTTCCAGCTAGAATTTTATATATATATATATTTTTAATCCTCACCCAAGAATATGTTTATTGATTTTAGAGAGAATGAAAGGGGGAGAGAGAGAGAGAGAGAAACATAGATAGGTTGCCTCCTGCACACGCCCAGACCGGGGATCAAACCCCACCAACTTCTGGCGTATGGGGTGACGCTCCCACCGAAGAGCCACCCAGCCAGGGCGCCATCTCGAGTTTTATATCCACACTTCCATTCAAATGCCAGAGCATAATACAAATATGCTCAAGCCCATCCCAGCCAACACCGAGCCATGGGCATCTCGGGACAGCTGGCACAAGGGCCACAAGACAGGACCCGAGAGAAAGCCCCACCGCAAGAAGTGAAAGTATCAGCGGGGACGCGCTGCGGCCAACCTGCGAAGGCCCGCAGCCCACAAGCGGCCAGGCGACAGGCAGCTCCGGGCCTTGGGGCTGGGCATGGGGCCGCTCCCGGGGCTCGGCGCAAGGTGCACGCCACGCGGGGGTCACTGATGTGGCCTACAAGGCGCCCCACCGCGAACTGGCCTGCAGCCAGGCCCTGGCAGAGAACTGCGTCCGGCGCGCGGACCGCCCAGCCCGCTGACCCAGCGCGGCAGGAGTCCACTGGGCGCTGCCCGGACCGCAGAAGGGGAGATCGTCAACAAAAAACGATCAGAGAAAATTCAGAAGAAACAAGACGACAGGAAAAAGAGTGCCACCGTCAGCAGTCTTCTCGAGGCACCGTCCCCGCAGGGCGAGCTCCCGCGCTCACCGCCCGAGACCAGCCGGTGGCTGAGGCGGGGCGAGCGCCGGAGGGCGAGGAGCCGGCCCGGATGGCAAAGAGTCCTCCCCCGTCTTAGCTCTTGTAATTAAGGTGTTTATTCTTTAAAAAAGAAAAGCACAACAACAAAAGAGCCCCTCAAGCCTAAAAGACACGGAATGACTGCCACACACCGACCTGCCCCCAAAATGGCCTTGGGGGTCAGAAGGAGAACAGCCCTGAAGCTGTGAAGTCACGTGTGCGGTAAAGTGAGGAGATGCTTTGGTGACGTCGAATGTTGTCTTTTTAAAAATCTTAAAAGCAAGGAGTGAAGCGTGACGTGGAAGGGGGGCCGCAAGGACAGGCACCCGCGCCAGGCCTGGCCTGGCCTGTCAAGGGAAGAAACAAATACTGAAAAGTTTGAGAATCCAAAGGGACCGCCAAACCCGAAAGCCGAGGTGAAATATATTGGTTTCTAGAAAAAAATTAAAACATCAAAATTGACACAAGAAGCAATAGAGAATTTGAGTAAGTCAGCAGATGTTAAAGAAATTAAAATGTTAGAGGCCTCCTATTTTCAAAATCCTCAGTCCAGATGTTTTCACTGGTGAAGTATACTAAATTCTCAATTACTTTCTTCTTACAGAAATTGTTCTGGAAAAAAAAAAAAAAAGGGGGGGGGGAACTGCCCAGTCCATTTGATGAGGCCAAGGTGATCTTGATTCCAGAACCAGATGAAGGGTCTCCCAAGATAAGAAAAATTACAAGCTCATTTTATTAAGAGGGTACTATGCAAAAACCCTAAATAACGTATTAGCTGACCAGATGCAACAGTGTATTTTTAAAAACACATGGTGTTCAGCCCTGGCCAGTGGCTCGGTTGGAGCATCATCCTGTGCACCAAAAGCCCGCGGGTTCAATTCCCAGCCAGGGCACATTGCCTAGATTGCGGCTTCTATCCCCAGTCGGGACACGCACGAGAGGCAACCTATCAATGTTTCTCCCTCACATGAATGTTTCTCTCTCCCTCCTTTCCTCTCGCTCTCAAATCAATAAACATACCCTCACGTGAGGATAAACAGAGAATGAAAACATGGCGTTCACAGGGTTCAGGGTTCAGGTCCCAGGAACGCAGGCAGGCGGGCCTGGGACGTCCCAGCAGCACGGGTGTCTGGCCACGTCCCAGCAGGTGGCAGTGGAGTCTCGTGCTGGGAAAATCAGCCTGTTGTGACAGAGGGGAGTCCTGCGCCTGGAAGAAGCGGGCGGGTGGCTCTGACCTGCGCCCGCTTGGTGGCGCCAGGGGGACAGCCTGGCAAGGATGGCTCAACCTCCAAAAGCCTCGCTGACAGGCTAAAGGAGGGACAAAGCCGCAGCTCCACCGTCAGAGGAAAAAACTGAAAAAGTCCAACAGCCTGCTTAAGACTTTCAAAACACTGCTGGCAAACAGCAATAGAACAGAACCGGATAAAGCCTACGCTCCGAAACCCCACGGCCAATGCGGCGCTCAGCGGGGGAGGCCGACACACTTTGCCGTTCACGTTGAACAACAAAAGGACGCCCACTGTTGCTGCTTTTGTTTCACACGGTCAATGCTATAAGGAGAGAGCGAGGACTAAAAGGAGTTAGGACCAGAAGGGGAAAGGAATGGCTGTCATTATTTACAAAAATAACCTACTAGGGAATACAATTTTTTAAAATTGAGCTCCATTCACAACAGACACCAAACCATAAAGTATTTCTAAATTAACCAATACTATAAAAGACCTCCATGGGGACCACTTTAAAATTCTAGTAAAGGGTTTTACAGGTGGGTAAGCTGAAGTATTTGAAGAGACAGACAGTATGACTCCCACAAAGACGCAGCGTCGGACATCAGCCGTGGGCAGGGGATGGGCAACAGGCGTGGGGGACCTGGGGGAGCCACGCGGGCACCTGCGCAGGGCGGGCTGCGGGCAGTGCCGCGGGCCTAGAGCAACGCTGGTGCTGGCGGTTTGAAGGACAGCGTCTGAAACTGGGCGTGTTCCAAGAGAAAAAAGGAGAAAAAGCTGGTCCTGCCGCTGGCGCCTAACTCAGACACGCGCCCTGACGGTGAGGCTGCGGCTTAAGAGACGGAGCGTGTGGTTTGTTGCGCCGTGATGAGGCGCAGGCAAGGGACCCAGAGAAAACTGCAGAGCCGGCTGCGAGGCCGTGGGTTTTCGCTGGATTGTAACAGGGCTTCTGCCCAGGGAAGGGACAGGGGGCGAATTCACAAGAAACAAGAAAACTGGGCGAAGGGTTGAAACAGGAGGGGAGGGGGCTTAGGAGGAAGGAAACCCCAGGGAGAGACGCTTCAAACCTGAGAAACACACGTTGAAACACGGGTGTCCCTGAGCCTGGGACGAGGGCAACATCGAGGCTGCGGGACACTGCTGAACCCCAGAGGTCGTGGAGGACAGGACCCGCGCAGCCGGGTGGGAGGCAGGCTTGTGGGGCGCGGGGTCCACCCGCCCCCTGCCAGCCGGGACTCCGGCCCACCGCCCCCCTGTTGCGGGGCCCCCGCCTGTTCCCACCCGGGTCCTCCGGGGCATCAGGGTGTGGAGGAGAGGCTGGGAGGTGAGGGGGCCGCCCCAGGGGCCGTGCACAGGGACATGTGAGCCTGGAACCCCCCCAAGAGAGGAGGGGCTCCTGTCTGGGCGGTCTGATGGAGGAACCTGTCCAGCAGTGAATGAGGGACGGAGGGAGCGGGGGTGGTTGTCTCTTAAGAGCTCCAGGATCTCAAGATCATCAGAGCAATGAAGTCAACTGGGAGGGGCCCCGGTCGAAGAGCCCCTTCATTGGCTCCCCTGCCTGCGGGTCCCCCACCTGCCCCAGCTGCTGCCCAAGTGATGCTTCAAATTAGGGATCCACTACCCTTTCAGCGACGGGCGGGAGACGGAATATTTTAGGCTTCCCGGTCACCCGGCCGCCTCGGCCCCTGGGCTCTGCCGTCGCCGCCGCCGCGGCGGCAGAAGCAGCGGCCAAATGGGGGGCCGTGGGCGGGTCACTGAAGTCTGAGTCCTGTCCTTTTCTCGAGTCACAAAGAAGCCTTGTTCTTCCAGTGCCGCCCCCCAACCATTTAAAATGTGAAAACCCAGGGCGGGGCATGGGGTTTCCGGCGGCTGGCTGACCGGCCCTGACTCGCCTGCGGGTCCCGCCCACGGGCCTCACGGGCTTCTAACACCGCGCAGCGCCCGCCTCCCGCTGCGGCCCCGGGCAGACCCCCTGATCCCCCGCGGTCCCCGCCGCGGGGCTCTGGCAGCGGTTGGGAGAGGGGCCGCGGTGCCACGTGGGAGGGCGACACGCGCGGGGACGCGGCGCCCGCGGCGCCCCAGCCTCGGAGCGCACGGGGCGGGCGCCCGGCCCCACAGCCCTGTCCGCCGAGGGTCGCGCTGAGGACGGCCCCTCCCGTCCCGCAGCCCGGAGCCCCGTCGGCACCCCCCGCCCCCGAGGCCCGGGCCGCGGGCGCAGGCTCCTCACCATGTCCGAGACGCCGTGGGCTCCTCGCACCAGGACGGACACCACCTGCGGGGAAGCGGAGTCAGCGGGGCCGCCGGGCGCCCGCCCGCACCGCGCGGCGCGCAGGCCTCCTGCCCGCACCTTGTCCGCGGGGAACTCGACGGCGCCGCCCGCACACGGGGTCCGGTTCTGGCTCCAGTTGTCCGCCGTGTCGAAGGCGGTATCGGCGACCCAGATCTTGGAGGCTGCCCGGGCCAGCGCTGGGGAGGCGACACTGAGCGACACTGCGCGGCCCCCGCGGCCCCGACCCAAACGCCCGTCCCCGGGATCGACCCGCGCCCCGGGCGCGGCGGCCCCACCAGGCGCCCCCCGCCCCGCGCCCCGGGCGGACCCGACCGGATTGCAGCGCCCCGGATCCGGGGAGGGTGGTGTCCGCGGTGGGGGTGCTCGCCACGCGCGCGGGGTCGTGTGGAGCAGGGACGGGGCTGCGGCTCTTAAAGCCTCCGCCCGGGTGCGGTGGGGCGGGGCCGTGGTGCCTCTCGTGCAGGGAAACTGAGGCAGGACGCGCCGCCCCGCAGACCCGGGCACACCGGCCCGGCCCCTCGCCTCCCCGGCCGCGGGCTGGGGCTGCGCTGCTGGGACTCGGGCCGCCCCCGCCGGGACGTCTGGGCCTCCGCCTGCGCCGCCGCGCGCCCGCCCGTCGGCGCGCCCCGCTCACCGCAGAGCTGCAGCCCTAGCAGCAGCGCGCCCCCGGCGCCCCTCGCGCCCCTCGCGCCCATCGCGCCCGCTCCTCCGCCGTCGTGCCCAGGACTTTGCCCCGCGGGGCTCACGTGACCGAGCAGGGTGGGTGGCGGCCGCCGGGGGCAGTTACACATTTACCTCCAGACCCGCCTGCGCCCTGCGCCGAGTCTCCAGGCTCCTCGGCGGCACCTGTCGGGCCTCGGGCCTCCCGCGTTCAGCCGCCCAGGACCCGCGGGGCTGGCGCCGCCGGGACAGGGCTCCTTAGGACCCGCCCATGAAGGGGGTGTGTCGCGAGGAGAATAAACAACCTTCCGGGTCCCCCTTTTCTGTCCCCGGCGCCCACCTGTCGGGGCCCCGGGTCCACCCTTCGAGCAGGGCCTCCCGCCGCCGCAGCCGCGCTGTGGGTGGGGACAGCGGTGGAGGCCCACGGAGGGGCCGGGTGCGGGGGCTGGCGCCGCGGAGGGCGTGTGCGCTGGGAGGGTGGGTGGGAAACGGCGCCTGCCGCAGGGGCAGTAACCAGCGACGGGGGACAGAGCGCGAGGCATTCCCACTGCCTGGGTGCCGGCCGGGAGGTGGGCGCCTGGAGGCCCCGGGACAGGGCCAGACGCTGGACGGGGCGGGGGCGTGGGGCGGGGGGCAGGCCGCGGGCTGCGGAAGGAGCAGCGGCGCCGAGCAGGCAGGTGGTGGGTGGCAGGTGAATGGCAGTGGCAGACGGGCGGATGGCAGATCCCGGTGGTGGATGGGTGGGCGGGGGAAGGAGACGAGGTGGAGGACAGAACGCTGACTGGACCAGCGGGGGGCCCAGGGCGGAAAGTCGCAGCGGCTGTGGCTGGACAGCCGCCTGCGGCGGGGGCCTCAGGAGGCCAGGCTGTGGGTTTGGAGGGCAGACGAGGGGGAGGGTTTTGAGGACTTGTGAGTGGACGGCTGGCAGAGCGGCCGCGGCTGAGAGTCGAGGCAAGGAGGAGACGCAGCAGACAGGCCGCTGGACGGGGCCCCTGGCGGGCGGGGACAGAGGGATAGAGGCCAGCCGGATGTTGGGGGATGGGCCTGGGTGGGTGGCCAGACTCAGCCCGAGAGGTAGGTGCCTGGCTCCCTGCTGGCTGCGCGTGGGGACGGACCGTGAGTGGGCGGAGGAGGATTGTGGGTGATGGGTGTAGAGAGCGGGCGGGTGCCCAGGTTTCGCAGGGTAAAGCGGATGAAGGGCAGCGGGCTTATGGGTGGCGGGGTGAAGGGTGAACGGATTGCTGGGGGCTGGGCTGCGAATCAATGGAGGGCGGGCGTCCCCTGGCCGGCGGGCGGCTGACGGGGACGCCTTGCTGCTTCTGGCGACCGCGGGGGCGGGGGCAGGGCGGGGGCGGGGGCAGGGCAGGGGCGGCTGCGTGGACCCGGCGGGCGAGGACGAGGCGCAGGACTGCAGGTGAGCGGCGCCTGGGCCGCCTCGGGAACCCCTGCGCCTTCCTGCCCCCAGACGCCCTGCCCTGTCCCGCCTGCCCCCCTCACCTGCCGCCCCAGCCCTGGGCAGTGTCACACACAGCAGACAGATCTGGGTGCCACGGGGGGCGCTCTTGCCTCTGCGCCCTGGGGATGGACAGCAGCTTGTCTTGAAGGAGGACGTGAGCAAACCCCCCCCGCCCCCGCCCCTTGGTCCTGGTGGGATGGGGCGCCTGCCCTCGGAGGCTCAGCGGAGCCAGCCCTGCCCAGAGGGGCAGGGACAGAGGGTCTGCCTGGCCTGGAGTTAGGCCTCGCCCGCCTGTTGAGCTCTCAGGCGGGTCCACCCTCTGTGGCCTCGACCAGGAACACAGGGGCTGTGAGGGGGTCCCGTCTGTTTTGGCCCGCATCTCACTCCTCTCTGGGAACGAGGTGGTCCTGTGGACAGGGGCTCCGGCCCAGAGCCACAGCTCTGTCTCCCACCCCCACCCCCGGGCTCAGTGCAGGCAACCTGGAGTCTCAGCGGGTTGCTCCCGCAACCAGGGCACTGTGGACACCCTGAGCGGCCAGGCGGGCCAGCTCAAGGCCAGGGCTCCTTTCTCGTGACACAGGCAGAGGACCGTGCAGAGGGCAGGGGCCCAGGGAAGCCCCGGAGGCTGGGACAGGTGGGCCTGGGAAGCGGAGCTCTGCCCGTTCCTGCCCACCTGGGCAGGCCCTTCCCTGAGAGACTGCGTCGTCTGGAGAGGGCAGTCAAGGAAGGCTTCCTGGAAGAGGCAGCACGGAAGCCGCTGCACAAAGGCTGCGGTCACCGCTGTAGGCACAGTGTAGAGGCTGGACGGTGGAGCCGGGGGTGGCTGCCCTGGGTGTGGGCTGCAGCCTCCCACCCTGAGCAGCATCGGGGGCAGCCCACAGAGGGGCCCGTGCCGGGCGGGAGACAGGTGCTCGCCCGGACCAGGCCGCCAGAGCAGCAGACGTGAGGTGGCACGTGGCTGGACCACGCTGGCCGCTGCGCGCTCAGTGCCCCACACCCCCAGGGCCACGGGGCCGCGCGCGCCCTCAGAGGCAAGTGGGAGAAACGCGGCGTCCCCGCGAGAGTTCCCTCCAGCGCCCAGGAAGCCCCTCAGAGCAGCGGCCGCAGGCACGGCCGGACCCAGGGGCTCGGCCTGCCTGGTCCCTTGGCCCCTGCGTCTGTCTGTCTTGCTCTGTCAGGGCTCGGCTGCCCTCAGCGCGCCGCCGTGCCGGTTTCTCTGGGCTCCGCCTTCTCTGTGTGGCGGGGACGGTGGCCGGGAGAGCCGGACCCCCGTGGCCCCGGCTGGACTGCAGGTGGGGGCTCAGCAGGGTCTCAGCGGGTTCCACCTCTGCACCAGTCGCACCGCAGAGCCGCTGTCCTCGGACGACCGCCGCGGTCTTCCCCGGGGCGGGGCGCCCTGGGCGGGGACGGGGGGGGGGGGGGGGGGGGCGAGCAGACCTCCCTGAGCCCCGCCCCCAGTCAGCCTGTGAGCCCGTGAGAGCACCCGCTTTCCTCGCCCTCCCCCTTCTCTGTTCTTCTCACTCTGCGAGGGCCCACTCCCTGGTCAACTCCCCAGCTCCTTTCTCCCACCTTGGTCCTGACAAGTGGCCACCCCGTCCCCCAAGCCAAGGGAGGCCCTGAGGGTCCCGCAGGCAGTCCACCCCGCAGGTCTGGCCCTTGGCCTCCCGGGAGCCGCGGTCCCCAGTGCCGACCCCCGGACCACGGCCGACAGTGGCCCGCCGCGCCGTGGCCCCCTGTCCTCTGGAGTCTGTCCTGGGAGCGGGCAGGGCACCGCTCGGGAGCGGCTGCCGCGCCCCGGTCTCTGGGGCGCCTGCTCGGCTGCAGCCTGCGGCCCGGCCCGCACGGGTGTTCCTCTCCTGGGCTGTGCACGGCTCTTCTCTCCCCTCCCCTGGGGCCCCGCGTGGCAGCTCTGCCGGGGAGGAAGGGCCGGGCCCAGTTTCCGCCCCGAGACGGCACAGGTGGGGCTCCTGGCCACCCAGGGCGTTGCGCAGTGTCTGTCTCTGATGGGGTGAAGGCTGCGGTGGCACCCCGGCCTGAGCACTGGCCCAAGAAGGCGGGTGGAGCATCGGGGGTGCGTGGGCGTGGGAGCCACTCAGACGGAGGGGCCCGCGGGGCTCTGCCCTTCTCTGAGCAGCACCGGGCAGCTCATGCCAGAGGGGCCGGGGCCCCAGGCCCTGAGGGGGGCTCCCCGCAGGGCTGTAGCCGTGGGCTGCCAGGGGCTCTTAGGTGGGCCTGCTGCCCTAGGGACGGCAGGTAGCGCGTGGCCACACCCGTGCGGGGCCCTGGGCTCCGAGAGAGAGGGGCCTCCCTCCCTTGGTGGGTTGAAGCCGTGGCCTCTCCCAGGCCCAGCCCCACATGGCGACTTGGAGAAGGGGGGTGATCGTGGCGCTCCAGTGGCTGAGTGGGGCGCAGGGGTGGCCCGTGGAGGGACGGGGGGGGCGGGGCGGAGCAGCGCCGGGGTCTGTGCCCCCAGCTGGGAGGCGGCCCCCACGCCCAACAGGCTGGGGGCGGCTCGAGGGCGTCGCAGGCTCCCTCCTGCCGGCTGGGCACGCGTGCACCCGGGTGAACCGCGAGGCCAGCCCGTGGGCGCTGCGCTGTGACGGCCTGTTGGCTGTGGAGCCTCTCGCACACGAGGTGAGCGGCCACGCAGGTGGCGTCCCCAGGGCCCCCACACCACCGTCAGCGCTGGGAGGGCTTTTCAACAACTGCTTGTTGCAAAAACAGAGGCTGTTGCTGACCCCGACCTGGCAGAGGGGGAAGCCAAGGCCCAGAGAGCCCTATGCCCCGAAGCGGAAGGAGGCAATGTCCCGAGGGCGAGGGCCACCCCGGCTCTGGACCAGGCCACAGGTGGGCGAGCCCGGCCGCTGGTGCACCGGCCCGGGATGCAAGGGCAGAGCCATCGCCTGAGGGGACGGCCACGCAGCCCGCAGGGCCCGGGGCACAGTGAGCCCTCAGGGCCCTTTTTCAAAACTTAAGAACCGCGCCAGGTGGGGGCCCTCTGAGCAGCCACCCGGACGCAGCGGCCGTGCGAGCCCAGGGCCACGCGCCGCCCTGCCCGCGAGACAGCGTGAGGAGGAGACAGAGAGTCCTTAGTCCGGTTTATTTTCCTCTAATAAGACAGCTTAGCATTTCAAAGTTCTGCATTCTACATTCTTACAAACTTTAGTTTTAGCATCAGAACACAAAAAACGTTACAAGACCTCAAAACACAAATAAATACCAAATAAAACCACACACAATATACAGTAAACAAAAATATAAAACATAATAATGCTATCCGAAAATCAGACATGTTGTTTACTCATATTAACAACATGATTATTGCTGAGCAATAACTTACACTATGTCTTTTTGTTGTTTTTTCTTAGAAGAGCAGAAAAACGCGGACGTGAGTCACTGGTCACAGTCACTTGCACTGTCAAGATGGGGCCTCACAGCCGGCGGTCACCAGAGGGCGGGGTGCGGAGCGGCGGGGCGGGCGCAGGGCTCCGTGAGGCGTCGGCCTTCTTTGGTCTTGGTTGTGGGTCAGAGGGCTGACTGAAGAGGCGAGCGAGCAGGAAAGGGTGCAGTTCTGGAAACGCCACCCAG